TATTATGTTTTGAATTATGGACCGAATAGAAATTCTTAACGTGCAACTGCAAACTGTGTCAATAAGCACAATTTAAGAACCGAAATGTTGTTGAATCAAGACTCGTGTAGTATTTAAGAGCAACGCAATTCGAGCTTTGATGATACTTGGAATGAAGCCGGTTTAAAATCGATTAAATTTGACTTAAAATGAACAAAAATATCATCGAAGAATCAAAACGGACAAAACGTTTTACTGAAGATAGTAAAACATAGGTATATCTGGCATTGGTATAGGTATTGAGGATGAATATAGGAAATTATTTTATGAAATTTTAGATGTAACTTTATTTCATTAAGAAAAAGGTTCTAAAAAAATGACATTAAACCTTCATATAGAGAAAGTTTTATTACTAGAAAAAAATCTAATACAGACATAATTGATTTGTATGGATCTGATTTTAACCGAGTAAAATCAAAATTACACCGAGATATTTTTTTAAATATAGAAAAATAACAGGTATTTTAATGATGAACACTCAAGGCGTCAATGATCTTTTCAGGAATGACAAAAAAATCTATGTGGCTTATTACTAGAGTTAAATAAACTCTTAAGAATTGAAGTCATTTTCTACACTTTGGAGACTCAAAACATATCTCAGATCCACAATGTCTCAAGAATATTTAAATAATACTTCAGTTCTCCGCGTTAACAGAGATGAAGTTGATTTATCAATAATTACTAATAGTTTTATTAACAGTACGAACGTAAGGCAACACACTTATTCATTAGTCTGATCTGATCTGATCTAGTTTATATAAAATAAATTGTTGACTATGTGTATGCATTATGTCTGACCTATAGTGAAATGTAATAATAATGTATCAAAATTTAATAAATAGGTTTTGAAGTTAATATTTTTTGATAATTTTTGTTTGTTTTAATTTATTAGTTGTTAAATTATTGTAATAAACTGATTTGTGGTGATTAATTTAAACTGTTTTTAAAAATAATGCATCATAGCTCAGCCCCACATTACATTTCCAAAACTTGCCACCTATGAATTTATGAGATTATAGTAAAAACGGTTGACCTATTATGATTTAAAATTAATACTACCTATCTGTAAAAAAAAAAAAAAAAACTCAATCAGAATTGTAATTTTTTAATATAATATAATAAAATGTGCAATATTTACACACAAGATTCTCGTTCACTGTCGTACATACTTATCATAACCTCTGTACGCCGCAGCTTTCAATTTAGGTACTCAGTAACTTTGAACTATAATACGAAAACCAGCAAATATGCGTACGATTTTTTACCTGCTCTGAGACGAGGAGCGACGGAACTGTTAAACTATAGTTTAACAATAATACACAAAGGTGTTTTTCATTTCGTTTTTCAGTAACATACATACCTTCCATTTTTTTGGGACAAGTAAAAGTTTCAGTAGTGACCCGGCAAACCTATATAATAAAATAGGTACCACGCAGTTACAAAAACGGTTATTTTGACATTGTTATTATTTGTTTTCGCTGTTTAGCATTATATAATAATAATATTATTAATCTTATTAAATTTCCATTAGACTTTCGTGTATTTATAATAGTTTCTATTCTTTAATAGATTACTCGAGATTTCACTACAAAGCCACGTCACTTAATGTTTATTATTAAAAAAAATAAAAATCGTGACAAACGGCATTGCAGTACGTAATTACGAACTTTTACGGGTGGCTTACTACTGATTTTGAAATATCTGGTTACAGTGATAGTATTATTATAGAAAACAGTACCATCGGGCTGTTTGAGTGCACTAACTTAATGAGCAGTACAATAGATTAGTACAAACGGAATAACGCAGACGATGGCAAACCTATTGGTGTGCCTGATGTTACCAGGATTCTGTATGCAAGAAGATCTAAATTTGGCTAACTGCATAGCCTCACGGACGTTGCCGAGTACTGGGCAACTGAAAATATTTAGTTAACATACTAACGATACCATATTTTATTTTATCCAATTTGACTTTAGAACTTTTGTTGTCATACTTGTTTAGTTTTGCTCATTTATTTATATGTCCCTAATGCTTAACTTACGGTTTTATAATCACCATATTGGTGATCATATTGATGCCTGATAATAAAAAAATAGTAAGCAATTTGATTTTATCGGAAGGTTTTCGTACACATTGGACTATTCCAAAAAGTTATATACAACCGTTTTATAATAATGTATCGGTTACTATAGAACACGAAACATAATAATATTTACGTATAGAAAAACAATAAGCCGGTAGTTTCGAAATTCCCCGATTCGTTGTCCGGTATACAGGGGATAAAAGACTGTCATTAGTAAGGGTTTAAATTTAAATTCATTCTAAACATATTCTTTTAGAACTCGCGGCTACTGCGTGTAAATTGTACATCAATATTGGGAACTACGTATATCCAAAAAGCAGTAAGAAAAAAAAAACCCAAGTTTTGTTACCAACAACTACCAAACTATATCTAATAGTTTTTAAACGTAAAACCTTGTGTGGAAAATCGTTTCACCTCAACATGAATACATGACATAGACCGTCGTCCATTACGTTAATCAACGTACACAGATTTATTTAGGAAATGGCATTCGAATAAATATGAATGTTTAAAAAAGAAATCACGGCCTTTATTAAATATTGTAAAAAAAAGAACAATTTTTAATCTTAAATATCTATTGACTGAATTACTGGTAGCATAAATTTAAAACCAACATGTAGAGCCCTAAAGCATTGTAGTCCTTAATTTGCATGACGTAAAATCGCTTTGAACATTATTTTTATTTTTTTTTTGTTTTGCGTGAACGTGTTTTTTAAACAAATTTTATAGTTATGTACATAATAAAATATGGTTTTGTGTTAAAGACTCTGGAACATTTTAAAATTTCTGTGTAAGTGAATTTAATTATTTCCGAATGGATAAATTTTATTCATACATTTATTCTCTTTTTTTTTTTTTTAATTCGTTAAAATTGCCTACGCGCAACCCCTTGTACATCGGTAGCCTTGTGACACGATACAATTACGCATATGAGTAAAAATCGTAAATTATTTTAAAAATGTATAGTTTCATATGAGCACGCCATATATGAAAATTATACATTTTATGTACAAAACTTTTATTAGTTATATACAATTATAATATATGTATGCAAAACCCCCGATAATATCAAATTGTCAATTCCCAATTCCCGTATAAAACTACAAAAACACGTTTTTAAAATAATAACTCACGCACATGCTACGGGGTTTTCGTTTCCTATATATTATGTATGCGTAACTTATGAATTTAAAATTAACCATAACTTACTAATTATGGCATTCGGGTCGATTCTTTGGGAAATTATAAAACACAATTTTACATAGGTAGGTTATGTTTTTTAATCTAAACAAATTTAATATTTTTGAAAACAACGATAATTAATTATCAATGTATGACCTAACCGTTATAAGTTAAGTAAATATAAATAAATAAATAAATAAATAAATAAATAAATTATCAAATAAAATTATTAATGGTGCCCACCTACTAAACACACATCATTCGTAACCATTCGTTTTTAAAACGCTCATTTCATTTTATTCAATAAAAGTTTTTTTTGAAAGTTTGTAGGCAATTCAAACACTTAATGCAACTGAACAATAACTTTTTAAGATTAGCTTGTTAAAGTTTAGTTATCTCTTAACTTCATAAAACAAAACAAATTACAGATATACAAATTTAACGACGGAAACCAAAACTATTGTCCACTAATACTGCTGGTTTTTAAAAGCATCCCTTTAACCAACGCGTTCTTCTGTTTCTGTTGGTGTTCCTTTCTAATCGGATGTCGCCTATAATTCTAATGATTCTATCCGTCGTATTATAAAAAAGTACATAGGAAGCCGGGGAGGGACTTTTTAAAGTGTCAAAAAATGATTTATGTAAACTACAATCGGACGGAAATCTCGCATTTTTTAAGGTACCGCGTAAAAAATTCGCAATATATCACTAAACTAAAATTGTAGTTTTTAATTATTTTTATTTTTATTTGTTTCGCTAGATGCGAGCATGCGTATCAGGTTCGTCTCCAGACCTTGACTATGTGGGGGAGGGGTGAGAGCTCAATAATTAAATTTAATATTAATGATTGATAAGAACAAAAGATGGCCATACTTCGCACGATGGGTGGACCACTGTTATAAATGAGAAGTCGGGAAGGTAGAATATTGAGGAAAATTTAATGTGTGTCTGTACCTAAGCAAATTTACACGTTTCCGACAAAAAACGATTATGAACGGAGCTCGGTTAATAGTTAATTGCACGTGCAGTTTTATGACTTTGAACATTATGTGTCTCGCTCGAAAATTTAAAATATCCCGTAGAAAACCAACTTTATCCAAAGTCCAACATTGGCCGTGTAGCATAATATACTACACGTGAGACGGATAGGAAATTGTATTCGGCGGTGTCAAGAGACGTTGTACAGTTCCTAGGTACAAGTACTTAACTACTGTTTTTGCGCCCGATAGACAGTCAATGACGTGCGCGCCGATATAGTCAGCCGGTACTTATAAATCCGTAACGCGACCAAATCGATATTGCTCAATAACAGCGGCCGCCGGTGACCCGTCCGGTTTTGTTGTTTTTATTTTCTTTCGATTTTAATTTAGGGCACGGTAAAAAAAAATAAAATAAAATAATAAAAAAAAAAAACGACAGTAAAAGGTTTTTAAGTCGTCCGCGGCGAGGGCTGCGTGCGTGTCGGGGTTTTATTTTTCTGTAATATTTATTTTCAATCGGTTACCGTGGTAACGTTTAACGCAACACACAATGAGATCGCGTATACCTATATATTTTAATATTCTATACGCATAGCGGGCGAGTTATGCGCGTGGGTTCAAACACACCGTTCAAATGTATTGTTGTCGGTCTTTGGCTGTCAAAGGTCTTTTAGTCGGCACGCCGCCGCGGGACATTAAGCACCGAGCTCGCAGTGATGGATTATAATTTATATTACGGTCTGAAATCGAACCGTCTGTTGATAATTTCGGACAGGGCGCCGGAGTTCACGACGGCGGTGAAAAATACTCTGCCCGGCGTTTTCGTCGTACGGTACAACTACGACACGTCATCGTTGGACGACATTATTTGTACGTATTGTTACGTTCAAATGTTATAGTTTTAAAACCGCTACAATAATATTATACCAGTATTTTTAACGGAAAAACTCGAGAGACATTATTCTACGACAACCGCCGTATACAGCGAATATTTAAGATTTTTTTTTTTTTCGGTTTTATCGTTATTTTCAAAAATGTCGGCAAAAAGAAACTTCCAATTCAACCCGCGGAAACCTTTAGTATATTGAAGTATAGATTGTCCTTACTTGATAAAACATATAAAAATAGAATTTTGGTTGAAATTCTTTCCCCCTATTCCTTAAATGTTAATCATTTATTGATTAGTCTATACTAATATAATTCGCATCGCGACAATATGAAAAATTATTTTTTCTACGTAGTAAAGTTTTAAAAAATATATAAATATATAAGTATCGTTGAAAAATGTGTTAACTGCAAAAAAAAAAATGTTTAATAAATATCGAGCAAAAAACGAATTATCTATACAGGGCTTTGTATTGATTATTAAAACATATTCGTGATTTGTTTTGTATAATTTAGAAATTGTTTTACGTTTCAATGGTAAAGTTCCGTGTTAGAGATGAAAAGTGGAAGCTGGGGTCATGTCTTCTCCAGAAATCATCGTATCCGCCACAGAAATTTAACATTGTATATACTAGGAGTTTTTAAGATTATTTGACGTACATATGGCCAGCCCCCCCCCTCCCCATTAAAATTTTTTTAAAAATATGATAGCTTTCGAACTCAGGCAAACTGCGTGTTAAATATTGTAATAATTATTTGTAAACAATTCCAATAGGAGGGGAGGGGGAAAGCATACGTGATTCAAAGCGCAACGAAGAACTTCGTCTTACTCTCTGTGAACATCTTTTCTACTAGAAATTTTGTTCCAATTAAAAAATGACAAAAAATCTTTTATGTAGAATTTTTGATCAAATTTATGAATTAACAAGTTCATTTTTTGATTTTCTTTGCCATTTTCTTAACCGGAAAAAAAAGCTAGAAAAAACGGAAAAGTGTACAGTTATTTTATTTTCGATTTTGTTTTGTTTTTTTTTTTTGTAATTTGATTAAAAAAATCGTAAACCTGAAATTTTCACAGAATACTTCTGCCTATCCTTTTCTTCTAGACTTTTCTGAATTATTTATTTATGGCGTTTGACATTTTTTAGGTTTTTAGTGTTTTAAAATGTGGATAAAATTAAACGAGGTTCAACACAAGTTTTATTTGATTGTAAAAAAAAAAAAACAGACTTAATTGTAATTTAGTATTTTTTGTTTATATATATAAATGTAAAAGTTTTTATGTTCACATTTTGACAAAAATCTAAAAAATTTACAAACAAATATATTTAACCGAACTTAGCTGATAATCTTAGCTCGTTAGCAAAGATTTATAGTTACGTGCATGTATAAATTAATTAACTCTATATTTCCTACCTTCTCAACTTCCCACCCACAATACTAGTAAACCTATCAGCAGTATCAGTTCTTTTAAAACAAATTTTACAAATAATTAGTGAAATTGAATGCAATAGGGGAATTGTTTCACTATTGCACTAGAATAGGAATTAGTAATTATACAAATATGGTGAATAAAAACGCGTATCGGTCGCGTTACTAATTTATTCGGTGTATAAAATACACCGTACTCGTACACACGTACACCATCGTATACCTGTAATTATTTAGAGATAAATCATAAATTATTATCAAAACTTCTCGCAGCGGGTTAGTTGGCACATTGTGTTATTAGGCGAATGCGAAATGAAAAACCTTGCCAGTCAGTAGATATAATTTGTATTTATGTACAGGGTGTATCTGCAGTGTTTATACAATTATTCCCCGAACATTACACAGAACATTGCTGCCGGATCCCGCAGATAAACCCTGTATTTTATATTAATGAATTTCACGCAATGCCATCATATTATATTTCTCTTCCGGGCAAAAGCCGATAAAACTTTCTTGACATTCGGACGTGTAAAGATGTACGGTGAAGACAATAAAGTGTGTCACATCAAAGTGCGATGTAATAATGATACCGCTGTAATAATGCCGCGGAAACAAAACGATAGTGCCTGGTTATACGAACAATAATTAAATAACAATACATCATAATGATAATGTAACAAACGATTAATCATAACTTTTTCTCATTCTTCTTTCTGGCTTTTGTAATCAGGGTTCGGGACCTACAGCATTTTGCTCGTATTTCGCGCATGATATTAAATCCAACCGAGTGCAATGGAAATGTACGTCATGATACATGTTCAAATATGAAATTTGAAAGACGTTTTTTTTTTTTTTTTTTTTTTTTTTTTTTTTTTTTCTTTTTTTTTTTTTTTTTTTTTTTTTTGCTTTTTCCTAGTTTTTTATTTTTCAAATGTTTTAAGTCCCCAGACCTACTTATAAATATATAAAAGTTAACGCCGCCAACACTTTTAACTCCCTTCCGTTTTTTTTCGATTCTGGACAACATTTTTTCAATCGCGCACTGTCAAATTTTCCAAACCATAACTTTAATACATTTAAACTTAAGTAAATTTTCCTTTTTTTTTTTTTTTATTAATAGTACTTTTATCGTTAACCGGCTGTATCGTTAAAACCTATGTATATTTTGAGCACTGCGGATTTAGGTAATTTTTTCCAAGCGATTAAATATCTTACAATTTAAAAAAAAACTTGCTCGATAATTTCAAGTATAGGTTTATAATATTATTGCATGAAAAATACGACATTTTAATCTCCCAGATATCCATATTTAATTTTCAAATTGTATTTATCTTTTAATTTTTTTTTTTTTTACAGCAAAAGTAGACGATAAAATGCAACATCGAAAAGTGAAAAGTATCGCTATTCTCGTTCACTCAGATGAAACACAATTCTATATTTGCTCTACAGACGAAAAAGTATACTATCGAAAATATTGAGTACAAATAAATACAAACTCATTTGTTTTAGATTCTGAGTGGAGCGAAGAATCTATTGGTTTTACTATGATTTTTATTTATTTTTTTTTTTTTTTAACTTTTCTATCAGAAACATTTCTCCGATTTTTAAGTGTAGCGCTTTTTCTCGAACCGAACTCCACTCAGAATCGTTTTTTGTTAGCAATGATGAATCTTTACGTACAGATATACACTAAATTTCTCATCTGCCTTCCCAATTTCTCACCTAAATCATACGTCCATCCATCCATCCATTCCATCCATCGTGCGAAGTATATCCGTTTGGTTTTTTACGTTTAATTTAAGATATTCAATCTAGCAGATAAAAATAATTTTATATTCAAAAAAAATTTTTTTTCAATTTAGACATATCCGTACTGAAATATATTTAAAAAAAAAATTATCAATAATATTTTACGAAATTAAATTGACATCCACAATAATTATTTTAGGTTTTAAACGGCGATAGCGTAATCGACGATCCGGACATAAATTATTTTATAAAATCGCTATCAGATTATTGTCAAAACGAATCGTCTAGAATTGACTTTTTCAACAGCCGTTTGTCTTCGAGTTGTGTGAAATATCAACTGTGTTTAGCTCTGCGACATTTGACTCGAGTATGCGACTTATTTCTGTATAATAACTAATATAACAGTGTTATGACTTCAATAATTTGTATTTTACTTTTATGGAAATATTTGAAAGTGTGACATAGGCATATGGGCAGATTTAACGGGAGAAGAATGTTACGGCGAGTTGTATTTCAATTCCACCGACATGCGATCGACGAAGACCGCACTGGACGGATATCAACGAATCAGAACCGTAGGAAAGGGTATATTATAGGAAAGATAATTTTTTTAGTTTTTTTTTTAAGAATAAATTTGACGATGTTCGTTAATATTGTCATGTTAAGATACGCATATTATAATACGTGATAAATTTAGGAGCGTTTGGCGTTGCGACTCTGTATCGAAATACAAACAAAAACAATCTAGTTGTTATTAAGCAAATCAACATGTTAGACATGACGGCACAAGAGAGACAACTCGCTCTGAACGAAGCTAAAGTCTTATCCTTACTCAACCATCCGAACATAATAAGGTAACACCTATCAACATATTTTGATTTCTTTTTTATTATTGCTTATAATTATTGTTGGTTAAAAATGCGTACGTATATTAAGTTATTACGGAAGTTTTGAAATGGACGGCGTTCTCATGATTGAAATGGAATATGCGGACGGCGGTACCCTCGCGGAGTATTTGATTAGTCGTAAAACGAATTTATTACCGGAGAGACAAATTTTGGAAATGTTTTTACAGATGTCCGAGGCTATTCAGTGCATTCACCAACGTAATATTTTACACAGGTAAAAATAATACAACCGTGAGCAGCAGAACTCCGTCACTTTATCATTGAATACCCTTCCCCCCTTTACATTTCAAATTATATAGATATAGTCTTTATAAAACAATGGGGGTGTTAAAAGCTAAAAACATTCAATGGTTTTCTTTTGTAACTGCATGATAGTGAAATACATATATTAAAATTTAACTTAACTTTTATCACGTCAATCAAACTATAAATTAACCTCCGATTCCTCCTGAGTTTGAGTTCATTAGTCCGGTAGAGGGAATCGTTAGAAGTGCACAATAGTAGCGGTAAAAGTTGTATGTATGTGTACAACGGACAATTTAAACTGGAAAATCGCTTTTTTTGGAGAAAATTAACTCATTACAAAAACACGGACGTATAAAAAATTATACAAAAACAAGGTCACCACAAATTTATTATTAAAAATTAACGTATGCACATATATATGTTTAGGGATTTAAAGACAACAAATGTTTTTCTGACCAGAGACCGGAAAGTAAAACTAGGCGATTTCGGCATTTCGAAAATAATGACTACGAAATTACAAGCGTTAACCGTAGTCGGAACACCGTACTACATTAGTCCGGAAATGGTAAGTAGGTACGCTTAATATTATAATAATTGATCGTCGGACGTCGGTATAATTATATGCGTATAATATAAAAATTATTACTTTCGCAAGTGCGAGGGTAAACAATACAATCAAAAATCGGACATTTGGGCTTTGGGTTGTATACTGTACGAGATGGCGAGCCTTCAACGTACTTTCGACGCTACCAATCTGCCAGCGCTTATTCATTTCATAACTAAAGTGATTATATCAACCCGTAAAAATTGTTCTACCATTATAAACCAAATACCTACGGATTATGTATATTTATTTCAGGAAAATTTTGCTCCAATACCGTTATGTTATTCGTTAAATTTGAAAAAATTGGTCAATGATCTGTTGCAAAAAGATCCGCTCCGGAGACCCGACGCCAACGATCTACTAGAAATAGTGCCAGACTTCATTGAGTTCATAACCGAATCCAATTGGGTCGAAGACAGTAATGAATTCGAATCAAGTAATAGCGATTTACTAAATAGGTAGGATGGTTCAGACAAAATTATCTCCCTAATATGGTCTCAAATCTCGATAAAAATGTGTGATTGTTGCTTTTTTTCGTCATTTAATTGTTCACCAAACAGATCTGTGGTTTATCAGTTTACTTCTCCCACGAATTTACAACCGATCCCGTTACCATTCAGAGTGCAAATCGTTCAGTTAGCGGTGAGCCAGACACATTTCGTCGCTCTCACGAGTGGTAAATTTTTTTCATTCACGACATTACCGCCGTTATTGTTATTTTTTAGCGCGCCTGTACGTATTTCGTTTGTATATTCAAGATTCATATTACCGTGTTCACAGATTACTCGATTTTCACTTGGGGCGAAGACAAACACGGACAGTTGGGACACGGCGAAGAAACGCCGTGGAAAAACGATCCGCAATGCGTCGTTTCATTATTGGATAAACATATTACCCAGTTATTATTAAACATATTTATACATATTTAAATAACATATTATTTTAATATTGGACAATTATTCATATAAGTAATAACATTTTTTTTTTTTTTTTTGTTACTAATACAGAGTTGGGGCGGGGCAAAACTTTAGTGTTTTTGTCAGCAGCACGGGTCTCGTGTTGACTACCGGCGATGGGAAATACGGTGCTCTCGGTCACGGTGATTGGAATAGTGTTACGCGACCAAAATTAATAGGTTAGGTTATACGATATCGCGTAATTAACAGAATTAACATTAAATATAAACTGACAGAATATTTTGACGCGTTTTTCGCAATTTTTTTTCCCCCCAAACAGAATTTTTACTAAAAGTAGACGTGGTGAAAATTTCTTGCGGCAACTATCATCTTGTGGCGTTGACGAACGAAGGACAACTATACGCGTGGGGTCGTGGAAATCATGGGCAATTGGGTCTCGGAAATTTACAAGACTGGCAAGTTACTGACCGTGTTCAACGGATTATTATATTTATGTTAACATTAAATGTTTAAACAATTTATTTTTCCAATCGGAATTTGTATCAGGACACATATATATAAAAAAAAAAACCCTTATTTTCACCATCTAACCACTAAAATAAAAATAATTACTTTCTTTGTTCGCTTTTAAAAAATTTTAAAATAGCCATATTTCAAAAGATTTCATTATAAAAATTTTAATGTTATAAATACCATACATTCTTATTCGATCAATAGTGTTTTCGTAATAACAGTTTTTATTTCTGACACAATAAAGTAGATACATCATTTGTAATTGGTACAGAATAAAATGAAAACCCGCATAGTGTAAATATAATTATCAGTTGACAGTTCTATTACGATTGTGAGTCCTTACGCGCAATATAAGTACAATAGGTAGTCTATAGAATGTAATTTGTTCACACCCCCTCTCTAGAAATTAAAATTGCTATTTCTAAGTTACTAAACACCGGATACGTATGTGTATCTGAAATTCAAATGATTAGAAAAATATCTATTATACGTATCGGCCGTGTTAAACATTTCGAAAAGTGAACGTATTAAATGTTTATTTTTTGCTTAGTAATTAAAGGGTGATAATAAAAATGTATTTCTCATTTAAATATATTATATACCCCTGAAATAAAACGGATTGAATAGGAAAAATTGAATACTAACAGAGATAAAAAAACTTCCGTGGGACAAGGTGGGACACCTGTATAGGTACACGGTATTCTCTGCCACTCACCCGTATTATAATAATTATGTTTTTTAATTTATTCAAATTATTATCTATTATTAAACAATATTTTACAGTTGTTTTCCGATTTTGGTCAATTGGCATCTCAACGAGAAAATCGCATCGATCCAATGCGGTCCCGAGTGTACGGCTATAATTACGGACCATCAAAACGTATACGCGTGCGGATTGAATAAATGTAATAAACTCGGTCTAAATCGACCGTCTTTATTTAAACTCAAAGTAAGTACCGTGTTTATTGTAAATTTATTTTCCTAGTGGCTGTACACATCCGTTTAGATCGACTGTCCAAAACGAATGTTTCACCATCTATCCCAAGTTCAATATGTTATATACTTGTAGCCTATGTATTCCCGGTTCCATTACTCTGTCGATTTTTTTTTTTTTTTTTTGTACCGTCTTCTTTTCTTATGCATAGTTATTGTAACTTTTTATTTCATATGTGAAGTCGCGATATTTAATTAGGTATTTGTTTACAAGTACGACTGAACTTTTGAATATGTTACATTATTAATTCATTCAATCAACACCATTATAATATATAATTAATGCATATTATCTTATGTCTCAACTTTTCTCTTTTCCTTAAGTATTATATTCTATAAGTTAATCTACATTAACTTAGGTTAATAACTTTTGTAATTAAAACTTTACACGTTTAAAAAATATGTATAATTAACATATATTTTAATATATATATACGAGTATATTTATTTATTAAGCATTTAACTTTACAAGTTTATATTTATTCTATAGTTACTTATCAATTTTGTTAGTTTTACTTCAATAATTCTACAGGTACAGGAATTAAGTTAAATTTGCATACTATACCTAAAAAGGATAGGTTGAACGTAAGAAAATTTATTACATAAGGTGGAATTAAAGTTAATTTAATTTTCAATTATAAGTTCAACGAGTTATTATAGATATAAGAGAAAACTAACTTTTCGAAATTGCAGTTAATTTGTATTAATTTAGTTTAGAAAATCCATACATTTTTAGTTAACATTAGCTCTGTATGTCATAACAATTTATCTTCCATCTTTATCTAAAAAAAAAATGCAGTTATATTTTATTTTTATCTGGATAAATGGAATTGTTCATATTTCATCTCGATACATTTTCATAAATCATCTTTTACTTTGTCAAGATATTTTGTTGATTATCTAATCCGAATATTGTTTACAGTTTAAAGAGGTGCCGTTTGAGAGTCTATTTACCAAAATCAAATTCTTAGAAGGCCTACGAGTGACGTATATTTGTTTTGGCGAGTGTCACAGTGCCGCTATAACCGCCCAAGGCCACGTTGTCATTTGGGGAAGTAATATTTACTCTCAGCGGGGAAAATTGCATGTATCGCAAAACAAACCGAACTTACTCCGTTTACCCGGTTTTAGCAAAGCGCAAGTAATCAATACATTTATTTTATCAAATAAAACATGATTGCATATGTATTTCACGAAACTAAACGATAATTTATATTGTATTAGATTATCGATTGCGGTCCTACGTACACGTTAATTGGTACCGACGACAATGCCGTAATGTTTTGCGGTACACGGTTTTGCGTGAGTTATATATATTCACGTTATATAATATCTATTATATTTATTTGACGAAATATTGCCGTTTTATTATAATTAGATCATTATATTTTTTTAATGTTTAATATCAAATAGATGGATACCAAAGCGCTCACTCAAATGACTTCTATGTTCTCGTCAGAAGTCATTGCTCGGCCCAAAGTGATACTCGGGCTGTACGCATCGGACGAACAAATCGACAAAGGTCAATTGTTGGTACTAAATTCCCTGCGGGCGGTCGGACATAATTTAATGATAACAGTTGATACTTTTTCGAGGGTCAATAGTTAAATGGAATTGTTGCATTATATACGTATATACGGTCGATCGTTTAAAAAGTATATACACTTATGAAAATAGACATAATGCACAGTTGATCAGAATCCCGAAAAACAGGTCAAAATTAATATTATGTCAAACTTTCCTAGGTTAAAATATCTGGTTTTAAGGTCATTGAAATCAAACTTGGATTCCCCTAATTAACTTTAATATTCAAATCTTTTTTTCAAAAGGTTGGGGTGGTGCATTTTTAACTGTGACGATTTTTTTCTTAAGTAACCTATCGATTTATATGTTTTTAACTAACTAGCTTTAAGTATTAAGTAAATGAATTAAAAATATTATGCTTAAAACAATCAAATTTTTTGTTTGTCACAAATTAAAATACTACAACATACATGTGTATTGAGATTATATTGAGTATTACAAATTATAAATTTAATATTATATAATAATAAATAAAGATAGTTAAATTTCATCGGATTTGTCCTCATCATCAAGCTGTTCTTCATATTCAACCAGAATCATTTCCGGTTATTACCTTTTCTTATAGTAATAACTGTTTTGCTCCTTTGTCTTCGTTTTCTTCTAATATACTTGCATCTAACTATATCCAATACTCAATTTAGTATTATTTCATAGCGCAGGTGTACTAAAATTGTTGGTATTCAGTGGTTAAGATATTGTAAGTGAGATTATAAATAATCAATGGTATTATGCCCGTGGTCACTTTATTTATTATTGTTATTTCATGTGGTAATTATTTTATTATTATTTATCAAGAGGTATTATCAAGAGTAGAGGGTAATCATCCCATAACTCCCGTCTTGGATACGTCTCTGGAATAAAGAAAGTTAGTGCGTTGTTTATCGTTCTGTTGGGCCTATTGGAAAAGATTGCTGCACCAGACACAAAATCATGTGCACGCGTATGAATAGATTATTCAATAAATCCTCTTTGGATCTACCGCTTCCTACATTTGGCCGTGGGACATTAACCGGAAGTCCAATTTGTTATTTGTATTTCACTTTTTTTTCCTCAATAACTTGATTTTATCACCAATTTCGAAAAATATATATGTTCACATATTATTCAACTTTGATTTTATGAAAACAAAACGCTGGTACGATCGTTATCGTTTGTTGATAAATTTCCAAGTAATAGACATAATTCTCGCCGGAATAATATATTAACCGTTTGTCATTATCGTTTCGTTGTAAAATGCAACATATCGTTTTACCATTGGAAATTGAATACGTAGGTGGTGCAGTGATTTTTTGTTTTTTCATGTAAACAAAAAAAGCACGATTCCCGGTTCTGCTAAAAAAGTTTGGAACCCAATGACTTTGATTTTTATTTATGTAATGTTTAAAATCTAGTTTAGTGTAGCTTATTGTAACAATTAAATACGATTAATCGATAATTACACAATAGTATAAAAATTATCGCGAAGAGCAAAAAAAAATATTAAAGCGATTAAAAACTACCGAACAAGCAATTATAATAAAACAATCGAATGAAATTAGTAGGCACGCTTTCGTTAAAACGGTTTCATTTAATTATGTAATGTTTTTTAAACTTTTTTAATAACTATGATTATTGACTGTAACAACGTTTAATATTATAATAACCAACACCTAACGATTTATTACTATTACTTGTATGAGGTATTACTATGACCTTGTAAAATATTTAAATATAATTATGATTAGATATTATGTGGTTTTTTTATTTTTTTAAAACTAATTTAATTGTTTTATTAGCGACGTTATTAACTCTAACGAATGATATTATTATTACTATATTATTACTTTAGTTACACGGTGAGCAAACCATATTTGTCGGAAACGTTTCTTTATAAAATAGATGTTAACGGAAACGGGAATAGTACTATTTTTGTTTTTGGCGGGAAAAGCCCACGTTGACAACAGGAAACCGATATTTGACGGAAAAGGGATCTGCCCTATATTGGAATATTTATACAGCGAGTCTCACAGTGTTCAACGGATTTTTCTAGCGCTGTTAATATTCAATTTTTTTTTTTTTTCAATCAATTTTTCTTCAAGGGCGACATCGACTTGGAGAAAAATTAAATTTTGTATTTTTCATTCCTAAACAAAAAAAAAAAAAGTAACTTGATTTATTCACTGAAAAAAATGTTCAAAATAGCCATTTGTAAAAAATTCTATTAAAAAAATTTTAATTTATCACACATTCATATCCGATGAATACTTTCATAGTTTAACCGTTTTAATTTTTAGAAAATAGGCGTGAAAACAGTTAATATGCAATAAAACAACACGCTATGCGATAAGGAATCACAATCAGCACGGTAATTCTAGACCTTCTATTGAATATTAATTGTTTTCACGCCTATTCTCTAAAAATTAAAACGGCTATAATTAAGAAACTATTAATCGGATATGGATGTATGATACATTTAAATTTTAATAATAATATTTTTTACAAAATGGTTATTTTGAAAATTTGTTTGCGATGTTTTCGATTAGAACAATACATTTTACTTTAATTCATTGTTTAAATAAAATTAACTTACGAATTCGAAGGGAACGAAAATTAAAAGGTTAGGAAAAACGGGAAAATTGATACAATCTAATATAAATATTAATAAAAAAAAAAAAACACATATTATATAGGTAATGCGTATGTAATTATTCTGCCATAATATGATATATATATATATATATTCTCGAGAAAGCAACACTATTAACCAAACGCCGCTCAGAATTATTTTTTCGTTAACAATGGTTGATCGTTGCGTGCAGATATACATTCAATTTTCCGTACACTACCTTCCTAACTTCTACTTCTTCTGCCGTCCCCGTTATCCTAGGACCGCTTTTTTTTTCAATAAACTAGATAAAATACGTTTAACGACAATCCATACGGGCGTATCTCGTTGGAAACGTAAAATCCAAACTCCAACAACCGTAATAGATTCGATAGAACTTGTTATCGTAAAAAGTAAAATATGACGCGAACGTTTTCTGCGTCGCATCTGCACTTGTTTTGTTACGAGGAATGTACGCGTCGCACCAAATACCGGAGCCATTCGGTAATTTACGTAATCGTGCAACCTTTTTCGACGGGAGCCGTTTGGGAAAAAACAAACAATGGATAGGAGCCGTTTGGGTCGCACCGGTTAAACCGAAGTAAATAATATTCTTTCATTAAATGTATAATAGGTCCTTTTACCCTAAACCCGTTAAAGACCAACTGTGAAGTCAGGTAAACGTTCCTTTTTTAACCTTTTTGTGGCATTCGCATTTCGTGTGAGTTTGGATTAGTGGTTCCAAACACAGTAACGCCGTCTACATCTACGTTTACATTTTCGTTTTCAAATTCTCTAAAAGTGAGCTCAATAATGGCGGTTTTCTAAATTTAAAAAAAAATTACTGTACATAAGTTTTTTCTACGGTTTTTCTAAGGTTTTTCAAATTTTAAAAAAAAATGTGTATATATAAGCACATTTAATGAAATTTATCATATTGCCGATCCTATAATGTTCAAAAAATTCAAATACTCGAATAATGTTTTTCGCTTTTGCCACTTGGCTTTATTGAAAAATCAAGTTATCGAATTAATCAAGCATATTCGTTATTTTTTCAAATTGGGACATGAATACGACGGTCGACGTGATAAAATTGCAATAGTCGTTCGATAACAGTCGTCGAAATAACCCGCGATATGATAGTGTATTAAACACTAAAATATCGTTTTGGGTATACATTATACATGCTGTCCCACAAAGACATACCCCTTGAATATCTCCGGAGATAATAAAGATAACGAAATACTGTTTTTTTTTTTTTTTATATTACTCACAGAGTAGAGGACTACAAATATGTATATGTTAATAATTTTTTTTTTTTAAAAAAAAAAATAACTTTGTTTTATTATTTTCAGAAAATTTTAATGTATCACACATTTATATTCGACGAATAATTACAGCCATTTTAAATATTCTACTAATCCGTGTGCAAACCGATATTATCTAGGGAATAACCTAACCGTGTTACGCGATAACGTCGGTTCTCACACGGATTACTGGAATTTAAAACGGCTGTTACTTAGAAACGATTCGTCGGATATAAAATGTGTGGCACATTAAAATATTCAGAAAAATAATCTTTACAGAATGGCCACCTTGAGATCTTAAAATTATCCGAAAATAGTAAAATAAAGTTATTTTTTTAGGTGAAAAATAAAACCAACACTTTGGTAATCTCCGGAGACATTCAATGGCTTATATCGTCGTGGGACAGCCCGTACTGTCGCCTATGATCGCGTACGAACCGCAACGATACAATAATAAATATCAGTCCTCTAGGCCAGGGGTCGGCAACCTGCGGATCGCGAGCCACATGCGGCTCTTTCGGTCTAAAGTTGCGGCTCTCCAGCTGCACACACAAAAATTAATATTTTAGTTCAAAAACAATATTTTATAATATAAAAAAAAAAAAATATATTATTTTTGTTGCTTTTGGAAATATGAAATAATACATCACAAAAATAATTTGACAGTGCCCGCATGGAGTACAGTCTATAGTCGTAAAATGTTTATTATAGAGTCTAATATAATCGCGACGCTATCTACAACTAATTGGTCATACGCCAAGACATGCAAAGCCAATGCTCCCATTGATGCATTCCCCTATTATTAAAAACTGTTTTTTTTTTTTTTTTTTTTTTTTTTTTTTTATCCTAAATTTATTATATTATTATAATTAATTTCATTATTATTATGTCTATTAAAATTTAAAAACAAAATTATATTTAAATACTTAAGAAAATTTTTAGCGGCTCTTTAAAATCTGGAAAATTGTGTACATTGTAACTTTTGGCTCTTCCGTCAAAAAAGGTTGCCGACCCCTGCTCTAGGCGGTACGTTTTCCGTGAGCAGATCCCGTCTTACGAATCCATTACGGAGAACCGCGGGCGATTGTCGTACGGACGTTCGGTGTAGAACGCGCCCGCCGCCGCCCGGTGTTGGGCGCGCGGCTCGAACGCCGGCCGCTAGGCGTGCCGCGGCGTAGTCGTCGTCGTCGTCGCATGGTACGGGCGGCACGGACGGGCGTATCGCGTTCGCGGCCTCGGCGGACCGTCGGTTTCCGGGCCCGCAGTAGGCGCGAATCGGTCGGGGTTGAGGAGGGGGGGGGGAAACGAACGCGTCAGCGCGCCGCGGTTCGTAGTTGAGCGGTCGGCACACGTTGTAATGGTACTGGTAACAAACGACGTGACATTCTTCGCGACGCTGGTTCCGACAGAAGTCTGTCGCCGTCGGGCCCGCGTCCGGTCCGGTACGCCCGGCGGTCCGCGCCGTAAAATCAATTCGCTCTGTGCGCGCCGTAATGCGAACAGAGCACGGTTTATTTTTCCAACGGCCCATTCGCGCCGGTGTTGTTGACAAAGGCGTTCACAAAGGCGCCACAGCGCAGTACGATACTGATGCACTGTGTCTGATATGGCCGCAATGCGAACAAGTATTTTCCGCGTCCGTAAGCAATTTCTCCATTCGAATCCTGTACGACTGCGTACGGCGTTCGTTAAACGTCAAACGTTTATAGATTCGATCGATTCCAGAGACGGCGATTATCTTTTATTCTTTTTAACGGCGAATCACCGTCTATTGCGTGTATTATCCGTGCGTATTTACTTGCCGCGGAATTTACGCGTTATTTACGAGCGTATACACATACCAACATAGATGCGTTTTAATTGTTATGATAAATATTAAGTCTTTTGCGTTTATGAAGGAAGTTTGAAGTTAAAAATTGAAATATTTTTCTGCACCGGCAGTAATTTTATCCAATTCACGTCACTGTCGTAATGTCGACTCATTTGGTTTGTATCTTTATGATGGAAATACATTGGAATTTAATTAATTTAAGTAAACTATAAGTTTACACGTATCGCTAAAGTATACATATTTAAATTAATTTTTAAAAGTAAACATCCAAATAAATAAATACAAAACTTTATTAATATGTTTCTGGAGGTTATGATGTTAACAACGGCTTTTTTTCGTCCAACAATCGTTCCCCAGTTGTCACTACCGTTGTCAGTCGCATACGGACGTTTGTAATGCATTAGGTCGAATCATAAAATATTAAAATATAAATGAAAAATCAAATTATATAAAATCATAAACATCTATTAGCTCAAAATATTTTCAAAAAAAATAGTAACATTGGAGAATGCATCAAAAAAGAGTACTGAACGTATGGAGTCACCCCAAACGATCTCCGTATTGCACATGACTAGGTATACCAAAACTTGGCAACGAAATAAAAACCAAAAACGGCTATATAAAATATACGGTTATTAACAAAGCGTAAGACACCTGAAACACTCGTTATTTCGAAAGTACCTATAACCTCGGTTGGCAGGATTCAAAGATTATAACACAAAACGTATTTAAATCAAAATTACATCTATCTATTGACACAGGATTGGTTGCAGTTCAAAAATCATAAGTGGACATCGGTTTCACTCCCGAAAATAAAGGTGACAAAAATTAAAAGAAATATAAAAAAAGGTTAATACTACCCGAGATGAGTACTTGCGTTATTTTGATCTTCCTGTGTATAACAGGATGCTATTCGAAGTATTATTATTGTTATAGACGCAGACGAATTTCGAGAAAATTTATAGGCAGTTGAAGCTTAACTGCAGTCTGATTATGATTACGATGGCTACGGCCTTGTGTTTCGTGTTGCCTGGAAACGGCCTAATCTCCATCCCGGAAACCAGTTGATTTAAACTACTGATAAAAAAAAAAATGTGTACGACCTAATATTCCGGAAGATCCGATCGACATAATCGTTAGGTCGCTGTTCGGCCAAAGACGTCAACCGACGCCTATATTATCGTATACTACAGCAATGTATACTAGTATAGTAGGACTACGGCAAGAAGGCAGTAACTGACCGTTTCTCGTAAATGACATTAACGCGGATAATATTATCTGTCGGGCCCGTCGTACACGGTTTTCACCGGGTCGTCTATAGGTATTTTAATAAGAAATATTGACTAATATTTAGAGAGGGGATGGAGTACGGTATATACCCTAAGGTTATCGTGCTTATACCTATATAGTTGAGTAGCGGTAAGGAACGCTATCGCTATTTACAGGTCCATATAAACACTGTTTTGGCACCACTGATATTGCCTGTCATAACGGTAGATACCGCATTTTTAATCGTCAGTGTTTTAATGTTTAATCAACACAAACGCAGTATGCACTCAACGTAATAGGCATAAATGATTGGTGTAACAAAAGGAAAATTATCCAGAACGATCGAGTAAAAATTGCAATAGAAATTGAACAGAAGAATATTATTGAATAATTTTTTTTGTTTTTCTCAAGCAAAGAAGATGAATAAAAAAAAAAAAAACAAATAAAATAAGAAAAACCCATTATCCCGACGTTTAAATTTGTTTTGACGCCGTCTATTCATTTGACGGGGCAGTATAATGTGTCGCGCGTGCATTAATTAGCGTTATTTACCCGTCTAACGAGAATCTATAATTTAATTGATACGCGTTTATTATAATTGTTCCGTTTTAATAATATTATTGCGATATTTTCTCGGTGACCGACGAACGGTAATTTAACGATAATGACATTGTAATTTATTTTCGTTGCTTAGTCCCGTGACGATCGCGCTGTCGTGCGGACGCGGTTCGATCGCGTTACAATATTGTCGCCGAGTACCGGCGTGGTTTTCGCCGTGGTCGCGCCAACGATATAATGAGCAACCGGCCGTTGGACATCGTCGCCCTGCTGTACTCCGCGTCAATGGCCATATCGCGGTTTTCCCAGGACAACCTGCTCTTGCAAAAGGCGTGCAACTCGTCGGTGCCGTTCGGCGATTGCGCGATCGGCGAGGCGAACGTCCAGCACGTGGTTTCCAAGATCAACTCGTGGAAACCAATCATCTTTTACGCTACCCCGATAATGATGATCGTGTTCGCGGGTGAGACCCTATCGCGGGCCTATCGATTTCTCCCGTATCACCGGACGATACGTTACCCGATTCTGAAGGGGGAGGGAGAGAGCCGAATTTCAAACCGACGGGAATAACGGGCGTCCGATTTCTTAGTTAGTAAATCATGGGTAACAGTGCATATAGTGAAAATCCTAAGGGGGAGGGGGATCCATCGGACCCTTCCCCACCACCGATATCCGCCACTGATTATGCCGATAAAACATCGATTACACCGCTGACGGATAGTCTAAAAACGATCGATTCCAGTTGTACATCCTTGACTATATTAAATTTTTAAAAAAAAATACTATGTATCTAAAATTCTTCTTATACGTATATAGATTTATATAATTTTTATTTGGTAGGTACAATGTGGATAAAATTGTTCAACCAAACCGTAATGCTTGAAAATTTAACAGGAGGTTCTTTTTACGTTACATACTTATTACTTAGTTATCGAAAAAAAAGCTTGTAGAATAGTAATTTTTTTAAATTCTGAGTGTAGTAAAGAATGTATTGGTTTTACAAAGATGTTTATTTTTTTTTTCATGTGAACACTTTTTCTACCAGCAAGTATAGCACCTTTTCTAAAAGAAAATTTTATCTACATGGCACTTTAGAGTTCATTTTTCGGTTTTCATAATATTTCGGAAAATCAGGAAAATTTACAAAAATAATGCATTTTAGCTTAAATAAATAAAACAATTCAGCTTAAAATATTCGTAGTGACTTAAAATTTGAACAGAAAATTTATATTTGTCTTTTCTCAACGTGGTAAAACTGTTAAAACATTTGAGCCATTTTTGAGCTTTTTATAGACATTTTAATTTTGTAAGTAATTTGTATTTGTTAGGTAGGTACTCTCTGGATAAAATTGTTAGACTAAACAGAAATGCTTGAAAACTGAACAAGAGATTCATTGGAAATCGTACTTTGCGCTCAAAATAAAAAAAAATGAGTTGAATTTTTTTTCATATAAGAATTTAAGTATCAAATTTGACAAACAATTAATCTAGTTACTTATCCATACAAATTATTTCAATATATATTTATTTTACTAAAATATTGCATATATACATTATCAAAAAACTAATACCATTACCTCTCCACACAGAATTGTTTCTCAGTAATAATGATTTATCTTTGCTTACAGATATACGTTAAATTCCTCTCTATATACTCTATATACCTTTCCAACTTCTCATCTACAACAGTGGATCACCCATCGTGCAAAGTATATTCGTCAATTTTATAACTGTTTTAAGAACAAATTTTGAAGTAAATCCTAAATATTACGGCCTTTTAAAAAATATATAAATGAACTTGGCTCAAAATCATTTTTTGTTCGTAATGGTTTATCCTTCCTCACAGATAAAAATAAAATAAATAAATTTTTACTATTTTGATATCTACATTTTTATTCGTATTTGTTTTTTCGTTGGCCCGTGTAAACGCGTTGATAACGAAAACAGTTTGACCCTCGACCGGTAAACGGCTGCCGGTGGTAGGAGGGTACTCAATCGTATAAATACGTACGTGTGAATGCAGGTGCACGCGATCGAGTGACGACAAATGCAAAAATTTTACTTGAAAGGCTTTTTACTTTATCGGAAATGTAGGTATATTTATACGTTAAAATATTATGGCTCACCCGGTCAGTTTTCAAAAAAAAAAAAATTATTATTATTATATTTTTGTGTACTCGTGCTAACGTAAACATATTATGGTTAATTAGAAAATCTATAACCAACAGTGTTCTGGACTGATTGCATTAAAACTGTTAAAAGTATGCATGCGCATCATGCACCAATAAATAATAATGAAAGTATGCGCGAACATAGGCAACTAAATTTCATATAATATGTAATCAAAACAGAAAAAGGAAAGAAAACAGGATTTATTACATTTTTATATTTGCTTCAAATTTACATTAAATCGTTTGTGCTTTTTACTAGAATTATTATCACGAATTTGATTTGAATTGCTTTCATTTTTTTTATATAAATGTATTTATAGATTATTCACATCTACAAGGTTTAAGTACGTTTTATCAGTCGTTTGCATATGTAATTTATAATATTTTATTATTTTTCGTATTTAATTATAAACTTAATACAATAATAACGACAAAATAAAGAAATATGCCAAAAAATAACCAATTATAAATCGCCTAAAAAACAGCTCAATATATGCAACATAAACGTCTAATAATAAAGATTTTGTATAATATGTCTCGAAACAAAATGTATATCTTGATTTAAATGTAACACAGCCTTTATTTTAATGAGTATGAAAATGCTAAAAGCCCGGAACCCTATAAAATCAAATACGTATATGTTAATCATTATATTAATAATATTGATAATCAAGGTTCAAGAGTTTGCTTATATTAAGATGATGTATCAGTTTACGATGAAGTGTATGTGTTTTTTGTTTGTATCTTTAAATAAATTTTTAACCAGAAATCTTGTTCCAATTGAAACCTTAATAGTAACTTTCTTGTAGAATTTTTAATTCAGATGGTGCATTAAGAAAGTAGTTTTTTTTACTTTTCTTGTAATTTTCATTAAATGAGGAAGACTAGCAATTGTTTGTACTATTTCAATCGTTTTCTGGATTATCTTAGCAACAAGGGGAAAAATACAACTAAATGTTTTAAAAAAAAAATGTTGACTAAATCATATAAATTACGGTCTTTCAAAAACTTATTAAGTTTTTTTGATGATTAATTTTAAGTACTACAAGTCCTTAATAATGATTAATCATAACAGTAATTCATTCTTCGTAGTTATAATGTATAATAATATATCATCATAAATGTATTATAAGTATCAATATATTCATAATATCGATATATTACGAATTTTAAACGTACCCAATCAATAATAATAAGTTTGAATAAAATACTATTCGAATCAACACACATCAGCGATGTTATTATATTATAAAACCTAGTTCATCACAGTGATTTGCGATCAATATAATTACAATACGATTACCTACGGTTGTTCAATATTAATTATACCTATGTAAGATTAGAACAATATTATGAATTATGATAATAGTATTAATATAGCACCGTGTGAGATGTGACGATTCGAAAAAGCATTTTCTATCAAGCATATATCCGAAAACTATACTTTTTTTTTTTTTTCGTACGCTTAACTATCATCTTTATCATTATTATAATAATAGAACATATACCATCTCAATTAATTTATATTTCAGACAATTAACATAACGGCTATACACTCTACAGCCGTTGTTTTAATACATTATAGTACCTACAATTAATACTTCATGTATAATTAATTATTATAAAACCACCTTATTAAATAAATTGTTTATTTGCGTCAACATTAACGAACATAATATTATATTATATTGGACATTGGAGATCATTTTCATTTCGTGTGCTGGCTACTTTATACACTTATACACTTAACTTGGCTTATTTACAGACCTTTCCGGTTGGACCCAAGCGCATTTACATATAAATACGCAATTTGTCACGGGTTTTCATCGACCAGATTTTAGGAGTAGGTTTACACTTAGGACATTAACTCCTTTCTCTCTATATAATATATACAGTGTAATCCACTAATTGTGGAACACCTCATTTTTTTTGGTTAAATTTTGCATATTATATTCAAATTTTGATTTTTGGAATTTTTAAGTGTATTTTAAAGCCGATAGTTTTGAATACTTCGATTTTTCATAACATTCAAGGAATCTCATGTGGTATACCAACTTTGGTTTTTCAATGAGAACTTATATTAAAAATTCCATAAATGAATGGAGTAGGTAATACTTTAAATACATTATGGTGTAAATATTTTTGATTTCCGTCAACTCGTTGACCATTTGCTTTATCTGAACTAAATGGTGGTGACTAGGTAGTAGGTTTAAGTACCAACTTATTGGTCCGGATAAGTTATGTTTCGTAAAATTTTAAAAACTCCTAAATCTTTTAAAACTATCTCCAATATGATCTGTAAATACGCAGCCCGGTGCCAATTTTCCAAATTTGGTAACATTTTGTAAAATGTTAATGTTATTTTTAAAGACTTAAACAGCCACCTTAATGATAACTTGTCCAATAATTTACTTACTCAATACCCATTTAAACAGGGCCTTATTTAGGATATATTTACCCCTTGGCTATCCTATGGTGGTAGCCTTACTACGATTACAGTGACATATTTAATTCCGATTGACCTTTTTTTTTTTTTTGTTTATTAGCTCTTTTAGTGAGAGCTCCAAAACTGCAGCCCATGGAGCTTACGCTTAAATACAGCCTTGCATTTAGAGAAAGGAATACAGTATGACCGTATTTACGAACAAATATGACAATTATATAATATTATATAATAGGTAATAATATGATCGTTTTCAATTGAATAGTTTTTACCATTATTTCATCTTTAACTCTAACAACACTCTACAGGCTGCGGTAAGCTAATGCATTCCTTCATCGATCAATTCTCGATAAATATCTGAAAGTGAATAAAATGACCTTCTCTCCCAGATGTACTCCATGTTCATATTATATTATATACCCACATCAAATAAATTAAATTTGTTTTGAAAATATTGTATTGGTCTCTTGTATTGTACATTTTTAGATTTCAAAGTTTTGACACCTTCCATGTACGTTGTGTCCGTCCATCCGTCCATAGTTGCCAATGCCTATACATAATTACGATTGTTGATTTGGTTATACGGAAATATTTAATTATTATTCTTAATTTAAATACAAAGTTTAATTTATTGTTTAAAATACGTTTAGAAACTGGGAACTTAAGTTCGCACGTAACTTAACTTAACTCGCTCGTAATTCAGGCTTCCTAATTTGTTTGTGTTTTAGCACAAGTGGGAGATTTAATGTCTTTTTGGGAGGCTAGAATAGGCCAAATAAATATTATTTTAAGACAGGCTTATTATATAAAATACAAATTTCAGGGGAATTTTGATGACTTTGGGGGCTAAATCTTTCCAGCCCCAACCACTACCTATAACTTTCTTACAATATTATATTAATAATTTCGCTACCCCGCGGCGCAGCAGTGGGATTTAAGTAAGATACGCCTGTGTAGAAATGAAATCCTCGTGTACATCATTATAGCATAATATACTATTTGGCTTAAAATATTATCGCAGTTTTTATCGATCATTTTAATATTATACTAGTGTAATATTTTATTTTTATTACAGGTCCTTGGAGTGATAGTCACGGTAGACGGCGCAGGCCGCTAATTTTCCTACCAATCATTGGCCAAGTGTTGACGGACATTTTGTGTATATTAAACGTTTATTTTTGGGAATGGCCGCCCCAAATCGCCGCGTTGTGTGAAGCTTTAACGCCCGGGTTGTTCGGTGGATATAATATGTTTTGGGTAGGTATGTTGTCGTATATATCGGACAATTGCCCGACCGAATTACGTACGTTGAGATACGGAATTATAAATTTCTTATTCAACATCAGTCGGCTGATTGGAACAGGATTGGCCGGGTTTTTAAACGTGCGTCTGGGATTTTATGGTGTGTTTATCGTTCCCATTATAATAAATTCAACGGCCGTCATGATCGGTTTAGTTTTCGTGAAAGACACTTCTCAGCCGTACGATAAAAACGTCGTGTGGCTGAAGCCGAAACGTTTTATCAAAAATTATTTCAATGTATTTAAAAACAAACGAAGTAAATATACCATCACGGTGATATTATTGCTGTTATGCCAATCCGTACTGGTGGGTAGAATGGCGGGTAAGTTTTATAGTCTTTTGATAATCTACAGGTCGAGATATTTATAAACAACATAATATTATTTACTCGACATTAAAATGTATTTATGTATACAGGTGAAAATATAATTACGTATCTTTATATAAGATATACATTTAAATGGTTCGAAGTAGAATACGGCATTTTTAGTGCTTACAAATTTGTGATAATATCTTTGGGTAAATATATTATTTACATACATAAAAATAACTGTTCATTTTCTTTATTTAAAAATTAAAAAACATCCTTGACGATTTATAAAGCATACGGAGTAGATAAATTGCACTTTTTCTTTTTAAAAAAATTGGCATTGTATTACTGCAATATGTCTGTATAAATATTTCAATAATCATTTCAAAATCAAAATCAGGAAGTTTTTAGTTTTACACATTTCACAAAAACTAATCGGAATGTAAAACTCTTCCTATGACTTTAAAAAGTTTGTACTCTCAACTTGTTTGACAGTAAATTAAACAACAGAAGTGGTTTTTAGTATTTTAGTAATTTTACAAATGTTCAAAATGCTTTTTAATGTTAATCAGCCGATATGCATCTATTTTGAATTGTATTTCCTTGGAACAACAATCAGCGTAATGATTTCAAATTATTTCTGTTTTAGATTAATTTAATTAACCCTCCAAGCCAATGTTCTGCCATCTTTCTTCACCGCTTGCCACTTCTCTTCATTGTCTATTCGGATCCACTACTTTGACGTTCTTTTTACACGGTCTTCCCATCTGTCTCAATCCACATAAATCATCACAAAATTTCTGTTCAAAATATCGATAATAAAATGACAATTTAGCATTAAATTTATAATAATATAGATTTCATATACTATGTTGTATTTTAAAACTATATTTTTTTTATTTTTATACTTCGATAATCTGATTTAAGGTACGTATTTTGCTGGAACAATAATGAGTATCAATATGAAATTGAACGACGCGGTGATAGGCAGTATTGCTTGTGTTTTTGATATTTTTGTAGCGTTCGGTTATGTTTTTATCAACGAACCTTGGCAATTATTAATCGGTAAATATACTCGAAAATAATCACCTATTATTATCATATTGGAATATTTTGTAACTATATAAAATTATTACATTTTAGTTGCGTCGGTTGACTTCTTTCACGGGACTGCTCTATCTATTTCTACTTCGTTAATATCTAAAATTGTTGATGTCGATGAACTTGGTAAGGATTTATAATTTTTAATTTATTTGTTTTTTTTTTTTTAATATATTTTAATTGTAATACTATGATGTGTTTTTTGTTTCTTTTAGGTCGACTTAATTCTATTATTCGTTTATGTACTGCATTACTATCAATTTTTATTGTTTCGTTGTACAGTGTAACATATAATTTTACCTTTGAATACGTCCCTGGCGCCGTATATATGTTAGATGTCATTTTAACTTTTCCATTTTTGACAGTATTTTTGTGAGTAATATTTTTAATGCTTGAAAACCGATTGTAAATATATATAATCCGACCTATATAAAATATATGTTACTTTTTGTTTAGGATTATTTACTACAAATGTAGACACTTATGGATAATTAATGGCAAATGAAACTGATATACAGTATTAGGACGAATATATTAATATACAACATTCGGTAAAAAAACAACGATGAACCAATAAATACAGCTGTGATTAAAATTGATTTAATTAGTATTAAGTTATTCTAACATAACTAATGATTTCGTAATAATTTTTGTAACTTATATTCGAACATTTTAGTGTAGGTTTACTTCATTGTGTGTATATTGTGTATAATATTTTAAATTATATTTCAGTTGTAATTAAGACTGAAATCTATCCTATTTATAAATTATGATATTTAAAATTAAGATAATTATTTGTAATTATTATTATTTATTGTAAAATAATATTAATTGTTAATTTTATTTATTTATCTATTATCATTTTTCTCCATTTATCTACATACCAAGTGGAAATTATGTATACGGTAACAATAGATAATATAAAATATAATATAAGAATAATTGATCCAATATCCAAGGGGTTGCATATAGGCAATTTTACCAACATTAATTAAAAAATAAGAATGTATCAGTTCGAAGACTTTTTTTCAAATTCACATTCGAATAGGACATTTACCTGCTCATCAAATGGTCCTGTGTTATTCATTATTAGAAGTTTATACATGAGTTAATGAATTTTATAATTGTTCATTAAATTTGCTCAAACATATTAATGTATGTGTGTTCCTAAATTAATTTGCCAATTAAGTGAATTTCACAGCAAATTGATGGAATTTAGGAACATATTTTAGAATCCGAATGAGGGAAGAAGTTTTCATTATGTTTATTATTATTTATATTTTTTTATCTGTGGACAATGAACAACCAGAAATATCGCTCCGATATACAAGTGTAGCACTTTTTCTGAAAGGAAATGTGACTGGGGTGGTAGGAAGATCATTTTTAGGGAGTTATCCCAATAAATCGAAAAAAGCCGGGAGAACGAGAATATAGGTACAATATTAGTTGCCAGAAGTTGCCAGGCTTTTTATTATTACATTGGAACTTGATGATTCATATCCGTAGATAACTCCAATCGCTAAAATGAATAGTATCCTAATATCAGTTTTTCAAATTTTATAATAACACAATATTTTTATCCAAGATTTGTATATAATTTTAAACTTTCAACAATTGTACAGAAAAATACTGCTTTCCTTGATAACTTTCCCTCCGATGTATAGGTCAGCAATTGAATTTAGGAAGCCAAAACAGAAACTAGGTTTTATCAATTATTTTAATTAAAGCAAATGATATTATTTTAAGGTACGTTGATTTTCGATTAATACGATAGTAAATAATTTACGATAATATTTCTTGGTTTTACTTTTTAGAGCTTAGCATAAATTAAAATTGTTTGAAATATATTGTTATAGAGATTAAATTATACTCAAAGGTGATTGTTTAAATTTAAAAAATCGATTTCCAACACTCCAACTCTAACGAGTTAATCAATTACAAATATTCCGTTTCGAAATAATCATGTCATATAGATATTGCAAAATAAAAACGTTTACATTTTAGATTTTGATCGTACTGAAGAATATAATGATTCTACAATGGCTTGTGCTGTTTTTTTTTTGTCTATAAGTAACTATTCTACCAGAAATTTTTCTCTGGTCATCAACTTCGGATGTTGTTTCTGGTAGCAAATATTATCTATTTGGTGCATTAAAAAAGTCATATTTTAATTTTACTTGTAGTTTTCTTTATAATAGGAAAGAAACGTCGGAAAAACGACAATATAATGGTTTATTTTAATTTTGATTTAATCTTTTTTTTTAAATCAGTAACTAGCACTTTTTAAACGTGCTACAATTTTCAAATATTCTGGCTTTTTTTTAAAAACTTAGACTTAGACTTAGTATGGTTACAATATTTTTGGCTTCTCAAAAATCCTCAAAAATTTGAGGAATAAAAGGTTCACCATACGTTTTTTTTTTTATGACACTAACAATATCAAAAATTTTAAAACTTTAAAGATCAAATGTTTTCTGATAATAATAAATGTATTGTGTAATTTATCAATAACATGACCGAACTTCGCTCAGAATCGTTTTTCGTTAGCGTTGATTTATTTGTATCTACAAATATAAATTAGATTACCCTATACATCCTTCTACCATCCTGACTTTCCATCTATAATAGTGCGATGCCCATAGTGTGAATTATGTCGGATTTTTTTTATTTCTATTTCATAGATGTATACACTTAGAAAAAATTGCTGTAACATCTAATTTGATACATTCTGTATAGTTTTGCAGTTATAAGCGTTAATATTTTCTTACGATTCTGCTGTATAAGTAATAGGTTTATTTCAATTATCTATCCATTTAAAATAAATTAAACTATAAAAAAAAAGTTATATTGACCTAATACATTTAATGATTTACGCTGACGGGATGTTATTCAATAATTTTTTTTTATTTTCGATACTCAGTTTCTATCAATAATATCATATCATATTTTATTTATTAGTTTACTCGTATTTTTAATTCAAAAATATTAATATCAGTGAATTTTAATATCGAATTTCATTTTGATAGGAACACCTACAAATTTCAACAAACAATAATATTAGACAAATATGTGTTTGTAGATCGGCGAATAACATTTTTTTTTTCAGGCACTGATAAAAAAAACAGGTATTTCACAAACAACTAAAATATCCAAAAAGTCTTTCAATGGGTATCTACATATATGTACTTACTACATTTCAAATTAATTACAAACTGCCTAAAATGTGATAAGAACAACTAAGTTATTTATGTCAATGTATTGCGACAGGCAGAATAACGTTGCAACAGAAACAAAGAATTAGTGTTAAAGTACCTATCTAGTGAGGTATTCATCTCACACTCGTCAATGTCAATACAAAAGACGGAAAAATTATTACAGACGCACTGTTTCCTACTTGAACATTTCGCACAAATCATACTTCACAAACTATAGTTATTTTTAAATGTAACAGCTAATTTTGCTGGGATACGGGAAAATATACACAATAACGGCTTCTGCTGTTATTTTCAATTTCGTTTTATTGTTTAAAATTTAGTTTAAAATAATCATAGAAACCTAGAATTTTCATCGAATGCTATAATTAACTGAGCACTTTCTAAACGTAATACAAATATCAAATTTTTTTAGCAATTTTTGAGCTTTTATAGTCAGTTTTTAAATTTTTACTTGTTTTTATATTTATACAAATGCTCGACAATTTAATACGAAGTTCATCATAATTTGTAGACACTTGTACACTTGGTGTTTAATAAAAAGAAGCGCAATGTAGAATCTCCTTTTTTCATAAGTGTTCAAAGTTCAAATTTTAATGAAATCCGTAAAAATGTCGACACGTGCTATTTTAATAATAATATTTTCCGATTATTTTCCCTTTTAATTCTGCAAAGCTTAACACGAGGTTATAGAGATCGCACAAACTCGCCAAGTCGATCGACCTAGTTTTCCAATAACTCCGATTAATATTTATACTTCTACTTTTATCAACAATTTATGTTTAATAATCAGAATCCGCAACAAATATCATAAACATATCTAACGGAGTAGTTTTTGGTTTTTATTTTTTTTTTTCTTCGCATTCATTTATTTTTTTTTTTTTCATACATTTCTTAAATAATATAAACATAACGTCGTACTTTTTTCACATGATACAACACGTTGTATGTTATAAATGTTAAAAGAACATTTTTTTTTTTTTTCAAATCGTAATTCAAAATATTCTTGATAAAATATAATATAAGTTAGTAACATATGATTTTGTACGCGGTTAAAGTTTAAAACGTATTATTTATAAACAGGTAGCCGGTATTCAGTACATTAATCCGCGCGTATAGGTACAATCCCGATAAAATCTGAAAAATCGATTTTTTTTCTACTAGACGAAAACGAAATGTTTAATGAATTATTGATCATTCCTTTTATTAGTCTAGCCAGAAGACAATTGTAATACCTGTTTTAAAACTAATTAAATGAAATAGCTATGTTTTGTCTTTTAATAACTGCACACTATATTATACAGGGTACCCCACGAAGATATATCTATTATAATATCTCCGGAAATAAAAAAGATAACCAAATTGTTTTTTTTTTTTTTTTAATATATACATTACTAACAGTGACATTAAAAATATTTTAATTAATATTTTATGTTTGATAAAAATCTTTAAAAAATAAATTTGTATTTTATTATTTTTGAAAAATTTGACGTATACTTTTTTTATTTTCATTAAGTTAAAAATAATATTGTATCATGATGGGGGGCACCGCTAAAATCAGCAAACCTTTAAAGTTTAAATCGATAATCAGCCAAAAACCACCATAATAGGATTTAATTATTTTAATTACATTCAATTGAAAAGAGAGAACTATTATAGCGATACTAAAACGCAGTTGATATAAAACAGTATGTATATATTATGTAGTACACCGTGCATAGGTTTTGAAATAGGTACTTGTACCAAATGATAATATTGTTTGATAATCGACTATAAGGTTTACCTACTATATTGTCCGAGCAGCGTGTTAAACGATACATAATATTAAGTAGGGCTGCGGGACTACCTGCCAACTTGCCGATTTATATAGCTCGAGGCGTTTTAGTCGAGACAGTTGCACAGTCGATGATAGTTACTGTTCGACAATCGTCATGAAGGGAGTTGTGATTTTTCTGCAGGTTTTATTACTTATTGTAGACGCATCGTGTGACAACGAAGAAAACACACTCGACGCAGGTAAATATAAATATGGATCATCGATTAGAAAAAAAATAAATATAAAACGTTATTTTGTAAATATTATTAATCCTATACATAACTACTTATATAGACTTTAACAGTCCGCGAAAAACACGATGTCCCCATTCCATCAAAACGTTAAACAGTAACAATATTATCCAACAAAGCCAACAAACACAGAATGACGCCGTAGACGAATCAGATTTCGACAGAAACCCCGCAAAAATACCGTAATCAAACATTTTTTTTTCCTGTAATATCATTCCTTTAATCGTGTTTAATATGTTATTTGTATTGTTTTTAGATCACTGATGGACGAGTCGACATCAATTGGACGTTTACAACCATCCGATATCGATCTCGCGGACAGATGTTTTCCGAAGCCTAACTGCAATCCTTCCGCTCGGTTCAGAACCATAGATGGCGGTTGTAACAATTTAATATTTCCAGTTTGGGGACAAATAAACGGGGCCAACTCGAGGATTATTCAAGCGAGCTACTCGGACGGTACCTCCTTACACCTATTATAGATATATTCAGGGTTGGACAGTATCTTAAATACAATAGTATCTTATATCGAAATTGCGATACTGAAATCAATTATGTATCGAGTATATTGATCGGGGCCATTTTAAAGGGGGGGGGGGTATGAAAGAATATGGCCCGGAACGCCAAACCTTTTTAAAACTATTTGACGCCCGGCTCAATATAAAACTCGAAATAAAATGAATAACATCACTATTACTATTTCACTTGTTATTTGTTTTATTTTCAAACGCTTTTCTTAGATTAAAAATTAATATTTTTTGGTAATAAGAAGATCGTAAAAACAACCTAACGTAATGTGTGTACCAAGGAAAAAAACTAGGAGTAATGAGAAGTTTTATTTGGTGGAGGTAAAATGTTGAAGTATTAATATAAATTTAATACATTTGTAAAAATAAAACAACAAACTTGGGAAAAATTAGCCTCCCCCCAATCATTACCCAAGTAAAACCTTAAAAAGGGACGTTTAAAAATCGATGCCTCTGAACGCCAAATGACTTAACAAGACTTTAAACTAGATATACATATTGAAGTATTTTCCCCATGTTCTCCGATAAAGAATGCAAATTGTCCTTCCCTGGCTTTTCGAAAAAAAAATTAAAATTGTAAAGTTATTGCACGGAAAAAGAAGGAATTGTTGTGGATTTCAAATAATGTTTCAAAAAAAAACTACCGCATTCTGCAAGATATTACATTCGTGAAAAATATATTCCATTTTTTAATTTTAATGTACGAGTATATCCAGTGTCATATTTATACAAAGACAAATGGGACATTTGCACTGGACCCACTTAAAAGAGGGGCCTACCGACTACAGGCATACAAAATTAATTGCATAGGTTTTTTTCATACTTTGGGAAAACAAACATATGCACAATTAATTAACAAAGATAAGGGTTAAAAATGTAGGTACTATATAATAATCATGAAATTCTTATTTTATTGTATTGTCTATAAATTAGTGATGGGAGTCTGAAAATCCAGATTTTCACAAAAAAACCAGCAATTTAAGCCATTTAAAAATCATATAAGTGTGAAATATTTGTACAGTATAAAGCTTTGTACTTAAGTAAAATAGTTTTTATGAAAATGTAAAAATAAAACTGCTTTTGGATTTTGGATTTGTTGAAATCCAAAAATCCAGAATCTGAAACCCGAAAACATTTTATAGGTAAAGTTTACAGTTTTTTTTTTTCCGAATATGTATCCAAACATTTAACTTAAATACACAGCTTTATATTGTAATAATATTTAATATTTATAAGAATTTCTTGTGACTTAAATAGAGTTTTCTTTTTTGAAAATTCCGGATTTTCGGATTCCCGTCACTAATGTAAATGTAAAAATATTATTATATTAGTATACAGTGAATGTGATAAATCGCACCTGCTACGTAAATAGGCACAGTACTAAGAATAAGTCAATAATAGTTATTTGAATAACTGCTGATTACAACCCAAACGGGTATGGTGGATTTGAACTTTACTGGGATATTTTGATGGGTTCTAAAGTATAATGGGTTTTCCCCGAAAACGACGGCCTTAACAACATTGCGAATACGAAAATTGAATTGCCATTGTTATCGCAGTAATATTATCGTCGTAATAACTAATATTACTATTGACGTTATTGTCTTGCACTGTTGTGTGGTGCATCTCCCTTCCGCGAAATACGTCAGTCGTATTTATATTTTATTGTACATCTATTGTCATTTGCTAATTATTTTTAATAATTTAGAATTCCAAAAAAATACTTAAGTGGTTTAATGAAGAGAAAGTTAAAGGACAAACGAGATAAAGAAACAAAAAAACTACACAATAGTTCAGTTATAGTACAGTTTTTAATTTTTGGTGAACATTTTTGATGGTTGAAAGTTTTGTTAAAGTATGGTCTTTTATTTTCTACGATTTTTTTTTTTTTGCAAATGTGGATGTTTCCGATTGTGTTTATTCTATTACGATATTTAATCGGTTATTAGTCAGGGCACATGACAAGGATTTTCTTTTCAAGTTTCAACCATCAAACATTTTCTAAATATTCAATTTTACAAAATTACTGTTTTTAAATTTCTTTAAATAAATTACAATAACATTTTTTATTTTAAGTCCCCCTCCCCTTAAAAAAAAATGTTCATATATAAACTGTATAGCGCAGAGGCATATCAATTATTTAAACAAATATATATCAAAAATATTGAATAGAACAAAAGTTATTTAAAGTGGCAGATTACCGTGGGACACTCTGTATAACTTGTATGAGTCACTGATTACATGCAACATTAATTTAAAAAAATATTATGCATAGGTACATATTATTTTAGCACTGAAGAAAATAGAGATGAACAATTTGGAGCCCAAAATTGTAAATTGTACTGCGTCCATGAATTGGTAAATCAGCCCCTAAGTATATCGTATATAAATACATAAAATATATTGTGTATCTTGTATTGCACTACAAGTTACATAAATATCTAGTATCGTATATATAGATACAAAAAATCAATATATCAAGTATCTCGATACTCATTTTTAAGTGTTTTGCCCATCCTTGGATATACTTGAATAAAAAATGCCTATGTACTTAGATTTTTATGATAACACAATGATTTCCAATGATGATAAATAATAATACATATCCAGGTAATAGACAACCCAGAAAAGCAGTATCCGGACGGGAATTGCCAAATGCACGACACATAAGACGAACAATTTTCCAAGACATCGATAAGCCAACAATTAAACATAATTTATTCATCATGCAGTTTGGCCAAATGATTGCGCACGATACGGAATTGACTGTTTCTAAAACTTCAAGTAATATACAGTGTATATATTGATGTAATATTGATATATTGATATACAGTGTAAACTTTTTCAAACCTAGATTACAGATAATATTATTATAGATCATTTAATTCAAAAAAGATCAAAATGTGTTAATCACAGTTGTTTAACACGATAAAGATTAAAATAATAATTTTCTTTAGAGAGAAATAAGAATGACACGGTACAGGGAATTTAACGACGAAAAACGATAACTGTTGCGAATATCGTATTCTAATTAAATTTATGATTTTCTTATTTTCCTATTAAATCAAATATTTCTAGTACAATAGCACCTCTAATATTATTTAAATTTTAAAAGTGTGGAAAATGTAATAACTAATTTAAAAAATAACGTTCAAATTTTAATCTGACTTAATCTTCCTTTAGAATATTGATGACATTATTTTTTTTTACCCAACAAAACAAATCTCAAAACACAGGAACAAATAGTTACGAAATAATATACCTATGTAATCATAATATATGCATATGCGTATATTGTGTGTGTGTACCCATACCAACAATTTTTTAAATTACAAAAATTGATTATTCGTTTGATATTGTCAACAAATATATTTTTGGTACCGGGCAAATATATAGTGCTACAATCAATTTTGTATAGTTTTCAATATCAGCAAATTGAATTTTGAAAATATATACACTTATGCAATTTATATGAGAAAATAAAGGGAATAAATTACATTAAATAAAATTATATGAAAAAAAAAAATTGCCAACAATTACCTTAGCACTTCGGGGCCGAAAATCCCAAACGTTATACACGTCCAATATATTTTATACTATAATATTCATAAGGAAATGGTGTTGGAACTGGTAATGATGTTCCGTTAGAATGTTGCAATTCGGATGGCTCAACTCCAAAAAATTTGCCAAAAGATTGTCTTCAAATAACGATTCCAAGAGATGATCCTGCAGCTGGAAAAAAACGATGTTTCTCGTCTCCGCGAGCCGCTGACACATCGGACTTAGGCTGTTCGATCAAACCAGTCAGACAAGTGAGTAAAACATTACCTTGTTATAATAAAACTATCAGTATTTAGATATAAGACTATGTATAGACTATAAAATATAGTTAATATAATTTTCTAATATCAATAGTTAAAATTATTATAAAAATAAGTACATTTTATAACATAATTGGTCGAGAAAAAAAAGGATTTTCCATTTTTGTAATAAATTCACTTAGTCCAAAGAAAATGGTAAGATTTCATAAATTCTTTAAATTTTGACAATTTCAAAAGAGCTAAGTTATTAACTGGTTAGGCTTAGGATATATACCTACTCATTATTCATTACCCATCATACATCTCCAATAATGTTATTAATTTTTTAAAGACAGGCGATTTATTTAATGAGTATTAAATTAAATTATAAAGTATTAATTAGGTAGTGTATTTACTACTCACTCTGTTAACGTACCCGGACTAACATTTATACCAATAAAATATTTTTAAAAAGCTAATACTGGGGATGGGAGCGGCCACTGTTATAGGTGAGAAATTAGGAAGGTAGGATAAGGAAGGTTATTTCATTTATATCTGTAAGCAACGATAAATCATAGCTTGACGGAAGACAATTCCGAGCGCATTTTGGCAATACATAATTTAATGTTCCGTAATTTTGTTTGCGATTTTCGTTTAAATTTGATTTAAAAACACTTATTAAAAAAAAAAGTCTTTCAGTGATTTTAAAAATTTTACCACGTCTAGGTGAGTCCAATATAATTATTATTACCAAGTTTCAATTCTCTACATGTATTTATAACTGAATTACAACAACAAACTCCCAAAAATTTAAATTCCTTAAATGCTCAAAAGTTTTAACGATGATACCGTAAGAAAGTAAACTAAAGAGACAACAAAAAAGGTGTTTCGATTAAATCATTTTTTTGGTAAAAAAACGTCGTTCTTGTTTTCATAAAATAATGAAATCGTCAAATTGTACATTTAAAAAGGGGACGGTAGTATTCGGAACCACACACAAATAAATGAGTACACTCGCTGATAAATAGTGTAGGTTTTTTGTTCTGTAAATAGAATAAGTAATAAATGAGAAGTAACCCTTTAATATTATACTATCGAATCTAAATTATTACAATTTTTTTTTTTTAAGTTAAGGCGTTTTATGTTTTATTAGATAGATCATTCAATTAAAATGTTTAAAAAATCATAACAATGACATTTGCCTTCTCTCTCATTCTAATGAGCAATATATATAGCAAAATAAATAAAAAAAAAGCCAACCTGATCTTTAAAATCATTTTTAGAGATTAAACCTTCATAATAAAATTTGTAGATAACAACATTTCGAAAACAGTCTCTTCAGTAATTCATAATAACTAAATAATTCTTTGAGTATTCGATTCATTATTAAAAGTACAAAAAATCGTATTTTACATTTTTTTATTTTAAATAACTGTAACTATTATTCCTATGCCGTTAATATTTTATATTTTAAAAAAACACTCATGAAACTGCGTTTAAAAATTTGTAATATTCGAATTTTTAATGTAGGTTTTAGATTCTGAGTGAAGTAAAGAAGCTTATAGTTTTACAAAAATGTTTATTTTTTTTTTCTGCAGAAAATTTTTCTACCAGAGATCTTGCTCCGATTTTTAAGTGTAGCACTTTTTCTGATAGGAAATATGAATATAAAGTTACTTTAAAGAGTTCATTTTTTTGATTTTCCCAGTTTTCTCAATAAATGTGAAAAACCGAAAAAAAATTGAAGAAAAACGGAAATAAACGTAGGTAAACGGGAAAAATGTAGGAAAAACGAGAAAATCAGTACAAAATTAAACAAATATTATTAAAGAAAATATATAAAGTCTATTTAATTATTTTACTATAAAATAACATTGTTGACAAAGCATCATTATAGACTGATCTCCACTCAAAATCGTTAATTCGTTTACAATGGTTTATCGTTGCTTACAGGTATACATTAAATTATCTTTGACAGTGGCTGCACCCGTCTCTATTATCCTAGGATGTCTTTATAATACTGCACATTTTAAAGTTTTTTGCATTTGTTTTACATGGCGCATTTTTATTACATTACCTGTTGTAAAGACAGAAGTGATAAATTCTACTAGGTGGCCTCTTAATTAGGTATCATAATATCCCTTTTTTTCCGCATGCATAATGTGTGATATTTGATTGCAAATAAATTGTTTTATTACATTTCAGCAAATAGCAGTGACCAGTTTTATTGACGCTTCGTTGGTATACGGATCGGACAATAACACAGCGAACTCTTTAAGAAGATTTATTAATGGCAAGCTCAGAAAACAGGTGGGATCTAAAGGAAATTCGTTCTTGCCCAATGTCAAAAAAGCATCAAAAGTCTGTAATGTGCTCAGTGATACCACGGTGTGCTATGCATCCGGTAAGTAATTTATATGCAAATATAAACCATTACTGCAGTAATTATTACAATTGAAATACAAACTGTTTAGTCTATTATTTTTTTATGAATACAATTTAAGTTCTTTATAATTAATCACCGAGTAATTACACAAAGAAAAAAATTATCATCGCTGATAAAAAAATAAAAACATCCGCTATATAAATAATAAAAACATATTCATTAAACAAGTATTTTTTAATCTTTTTATGTGCATTTTCATAGAATATTTAACATATTTAAAAAAAAAATAAACACCTAATCAAAATTTGTTTTTAAACAAGTATCACGTTTTAATGCGTGTTTTTTTTTTTATCATAGACCAGAAACCTTCTAAGTCGATTTTTCGTATTTATAATTATTTTTTTATCAATGAAATTTGAATATGAATTAAAATTATTTACAAAAATCGATTTTTTTTTTTTTTGTTGTTGTTTTATTTTATGAATAAGAAACCGTATTGAACACATTTAATTGTCTTTTATTGCGAATCAAAGTGAATCGTTACAATAAGTCATACTTATCTGCAAATCAATTTCACTATTATTAATTTTTTCAAAAAGTTGTTTTTATTATACTTACAATGTGTTGTTTTGTATTATAAAGGTGATGAGAGAGTTAACCAACATCCTGATATGGCTGTTCAAACAATATCCCTATTAAGACTACACAACACGTTATGCGACGAACTCGTAAGAATAAATCCTTCGTGGGACGACGAGCGTTTATATCAGGAAGCCAGGAAAATAGTTATCGGAATGTATCAACATGTTACGTACAATGAATTCTTGCCGGAAATAATAGGTTAAAATACAAGTATTATAATAATTCGAGAAGTAACCGAGATTCCATTTTTGTTTAATTATTTATGAATTGTTAAATCCATTTTCATCAATATAATATCCTAACTCAAAGGCGTAATCATGATAGGTGGATTAGAGGGCTATAGGCTTAAACACCACAGAATTTAAGTACCTATTTAATGGAGTTGAAATTCTGAAATTTGAAATTATAATTATCGTAAGACCGAGTAGGTACATATACGAATAACGCAGTATGACCAAATAATTACGACATAGGTATTTGAATATCATTTTCGATTCTTACTTCTTAGCATAGCGGGAAATGTATAGGTTTTATTAAGATATTATTTTTTTTAAAAAATCATAAAAATTACTGTATTTCAAAGCATGTACAACCAAACTTAGTTCAGAATTGTTTTTCGTTAACAATGGTTTACCGTTTCGTAAATATATATAAATTAAAGCACTTTATGTTTCCTATACTTTCCCAACGGTTTTTCAAATTTGCCGTCTATGAACAAGGTTTCTACCAGAACTCTTGTTCCGATCAAAAATGACATAGGATATTTTTGTTTCATAATCGTTATATCTAGTTGATGCATTGTATGATTTTCCAAACTGTCATAAAAATAGAGAAAAACCTAGGAAAAATGTAAAGGAAACATTGCCAAATTCAAGTGTAGTATCTTTTCTGGAAAAAAATTTGGTCTAGTATAAAAAAGTGTATGAAAGTTTGTTTTTTTTCATTTTAGTTTTCTTAATTGGAGAAAACGGGAAAAACGTAAGATTGACGGGAATGTTTGCGGCATATCGGTTACAATATTTTCAATTTTGTCTTTTGTTTTAATCCAGTTAAAAATAATCGTAAAAACCTAAATTTTCACAGAATACTTATATTAGTACTTTCTAGACATAGTCAAATTTTCAAAACGTTCTGAGGTATTTCCATGCATTTGAAATTTTCAAGTTTTTTAGTTTTTATTTGTAAGCACTTAGTGAATAAAATTGTCTGACCTAACAGAAATACTGGAAAATTTTCTAAGTGGTACTAAGTGGTAAAAAAAAAAAGTTGAGTATACTATAATAGTTTTTTAAAGCGTTTTTGGATCAAATTTTGACAAAAATTGAAAAAAATTACGGAATTTCAAAACGTGCATATACGAACTTCGCTTAGAATCGATCGGTTTTTGTTTTTATCGTTGCATACAGATATAAATTAAATAACTTTTAATATAAAAATATATATAAGTATATATGCAAAATAAATAAATAAATTATTAGAAAAAGAACAGCAAGAGCAAAGTATGGAGTGTATTGCCTGGAGTATATTATTATATATTATACACACAACTTTAATAACACTCCAGGCTTTGTATTATTATTTTTCTTAAAATGTATTTATTTGTTTTTCATTATTTACCTATGTCCTATACATTATATATTTATGTTTTACTTTATTCATATTTTATATTTTATTGAGTATTAATCTAAAAAAACATGTATCCTATCCAACTTCCCGAAATTGGTTAGAATATATATAACCACCTTCCCCTAGGTTGTGAATGAAAAGCTAACCTAATATATACATAATTATTATTAATTTAATCGCAGGAAAAGATTATGCCCGAGTAAACAATCTACTGCCGCTAAAGGAAGGCTTCAACAATAATTACAATGAATTTTTGAACCCGACTACCCTAGCCAGTTTTACTGCCGCCGCGTTTAGATCACTTCATAGTTACATACAAGGATTTATCGAGTATTACAAGCTAAAATATTATAAAGAATTTTCTAAATAGTTTTTTTTCCCCTCATGATTTCGATTTATATAGTTATGATTTTCTTTTACAGATTAATGAATGAAGCCCGACGAGTTACGTCAAGAATACGCTTGAGTGATTTCTATTTTAAAACCGATATAGTCCAAAGAAATGACAATTTCGACGCATTCACTAGGGGATTGCTCACTCAACGCGCCCAAGAACAAGACCAATTTTTTACCGAGGAGGTAGGTATTAAAAGAAAATGTAAATTCATTCACTCGAAACAAATAAAATAATAATTTTTAATAACTTACAACTGGACGTATTGGCGTTACTTGGTATAGGTCTCTGAATTTCTATTCAGAGTCCCGAACAAAACAGAAGGCCTCGACTTGGTCAGTTTAGACTTGGAACGCGGTCGAGATTTTGGATTACCGTCTTACAATAAATTCAGGCAACTCTGCGGATTGAACGAAGCTAAAACATTTGATGACTTAACCGATCAAATAAGTAAAAAAGTAAATAAATTTGTCAATACAATGTTGTACAATATTAAGGAACATGTACAAATTAAAAAAAAAATTGTTTATTTAAGAATGTCGACGCCTTATCCAAATTATACGAACACGTAGAAGACGTTGACTATTACGCTGCTGGTCTCTTAGAAAAACGAAAACCGGGATCTATTTTGGGTCATACGTTCCAGTGTATTATCGGAGAAATGTTTTTCAGATGGAAGTTCGGCGACAGATTTTTTTACGAATTCGGCAACCAACCGGGTTCCTTCAGTTTAGGTACATATCTAAATAATATTATGACTTTCAATAACTATCTATAGAGAATCTCGAAATTCGATGATAACGAAACCTATTGTTGTTGTACATATTATATAGATCAACTTCAGGAAATACGAAAGACGACGTTGGCACAAATCGTGTGTATGACATCAGATATCCAAAATACACAACGCAAAGCGTTTAATATACCAAGTAATACGTAAGTATAAATCATCAAAACAGAACATAGCATAAAAACGATAGTAATATTTTCCTAGCAGATTATCAGTTATTTATGTGAAGTGATGATAACAAATAACTTAATTTAATTTAAAAATAAATTTATATTATATTCATTAGATACGTTGCCAACTATTATCGTTTATTTCGTTTTTTACACCAACATAATCATACAAATTATTAACTATTATATTTTGTATCTGAAATAATCAATTAGTAAGTTAAAATCATTTTTTTAAAAAATTTTTTCCAGAAACCCTTTGGTGTCTTGCGGCTCTATAGCAAAAATCAATTTAAATGCTTGGAGAGAATCATAACCTAATTAAATAGTTCGTCTTTTTCATACAGTGGATCTACTATTACATTATACATAATACATATTATATAATTAAAATATTTGATCATTAAAAAAAAAAATTAAGGTTAGTGTTTGAATTTTAGCAATGAGAATTGTAAATGAAAATATATTACTTACTACTTACTATTTGACTGTTAATATTTAAATTTAAGAATTAAAACTGAATGAAATAAGTATAATGAAATACATCAGGGGCGAATTAAATGACGACGATGTTATCTAACTGTGATTTATAGAGCTTAGCAAAGTCATGCAAGTGTCATGACGGACAAATGTTTAGCCTCGTCGAAAAACAAAAAAATGGATTTATATTAAAGTTTTAAGTACTCAGTTCATTCTATTCGTTTCAAGAAAAAGAAAAAGAAGATACGATATATAGGTGAATAATTTTGATAATTTCGTTTGTTGATTACTGTAGTCAGGGCTTTATTTGGAAATTTTGCGCCCCGAGGCAACATATTTTCACCTCCCCAAACCCCACTCCCTCCCGAAAAAAGCTATTTCTTAAGGTGTAAGGTATGACTAATTTGTTAAATACAATTTTGGTCCACAGAAAATTGAGTCAATAACCAACACACCTATTATGCTGCTCTTACTAATTAAATATTGGCAAATTAAAAATATATACATTATACACTATATACATTCATGTGTGTTTTATTATTGTCAAATTTATTATGAATAATAATTATGATCATACAAATTTAACAAAATATATTATAACTTGTTATAGGCTATAAATATTAATAGTTCATAAATTATAGTACTTTCCTAAATCTCTAGAAAAACCAATATTAAATGAAAAAAGACGTCCTAGGATAATGGAGAACAATTATTATGTCCACAATATATATGTAATAGTATGGTAAAATAATTAAATAGGCTTTATAAATTTTCTTTAATAATATTTGTTTAATGTTTTCCGATTTCGAAAATTAAATGTTTTTCCCAGTTTACCTACGTTTTTTTCCGTTTTTCAAATTTGATGAAAAAATTCCTGAGAAAATCGAAAAATAACCTCCTTAAAGTACCTCCCCATACCGATCTCCTACCAGAAAAGGTAGAAAAATTGCTTAAAAAAAAAAAAAAATAAATAAACATCTTTGTAAAACTATATATATTCGCTCCACTCAGAATCTAAAACAATTTAAGAAAACAATGTATAATTTATTATTAAGTATTGCATTTTTATTAATAATTCATATCTATGTATCTAAATAAATTTTTATCTTTCTCCTTGACTGGTTTGAGAATAAAGTTATTATTTATCAATAGTATGTTAATAATATAATTTATAATATTGTTAATGTTATTATCCGACAAATTAATGAAACCAATATACATTTTTGAACTATAATAATTGTTTAGAAGGTTAAAATAATAATTCAAATTATGTAAACATATTATTTTTTTCTATAAAATTAATACACAACAATAAATTTATCAATATAAATTTGCCGCACCATAAATGGGCTCAAAAATTTGCCGCCCCGGCAACAAGGTATACTTGCCCCACCCCCTCTAAATACGTGCCCGATTAAAGTCTATCATTTCATTGTGAACTCCTAAAGGCCGTTTTAAAATGTGCACTTTTTTAAAAATAGACATTTAGAATATTTATAATATAAGGTTATATTTTAAACACTAACTGTGAGGAAATACTGTACTGTAATTCGAACACAAATGCAAATATTGTTGGCGGCACAGTATTCCAAAAAGTTGATGGTCGCCTATTCAGTTCCTTTGCCTCATCGCGAGAAATGAATAATAATATTATAGTGAAATACTTAAATGGGTTTGGTTATAATTATAAACCATAGTGAAACGAAGCGCAAAATATCAAAACAGTGTAATAACAGCGCCCGGAATAATCCTACAAGAATCCCATATTCCGATAATCTACAGTATTTTTTGGAAAGAATTATTTTAAAAAAAATATCTCTCGATGTTTGTAAATCTATACGAAAGAGTAAGAATACACCCTCTCCCTCAATAATCCTAAATAAACAACAGAGATTATATAATATATTTAATAATAATATGATTATGGTACTAATATACATTATATTATCCGGACCTATACAATACAATAGTTTTACTTATTTTTGTTTTCTGACGTTTACTACCCAGGGTTGGACATATCATAGTTATATAACTCGGTTACTTTTGGAACTTGTAACTAGTTACACCTTACACATTTTCCTGTACCTTTATATGAAAGTTATAAGTTACAATTATTGCAAGTTACATTGTGCTTGATAATACATAAGTGAGACTGCAAAAGCAAAAAAAAAAAAACATTTAATTCGTCCATTCAGTGGTTATACGATTATGGTTGTTCGATCTTTTCCTCTCCTAATATTACCTAGCCCCGTGGTCGGGCAATAATTATCTGGGCGATAACCAGTTTTCTCCGTTCAAAATAGAATAGAATTAACTCACTGTGAAATAAAATTGTATCCGCTGCATCACTTCAAAAACATATGATTGACCTCTTCACAGATACAGGTTGATGTAGCCGTCGCCGATATTATAGCTGGGTTTTTATGTACAGCCGAATGTCCGTATGATATAAATTTATAAGAAAAATGAATAAGTTTACCTATATTACAATATACGTTTATGTTGTTTATGATTGTGCTGTTGACTAGTTTTAAAACTCAAATCGTTTTATTTTTTATAAAAATGGATCACCGATCTGTTGTGTTGAATGAAACGTTTTTTGAAATCATTACTGACAAAGGTTTTACAGACTGTTTTATGTAATCAAGTTTAACTATTATCATTGTGATTGAGATTTATTTAGGTATGTTTAATAAATTGAATTAATGTAATTGTAATTTGTAAAGAATATTTTACACAAGTTAATATTAACAATTACAGAATTGTAATAAAAACTTTTTTAATAATTACTCGTACATTAAAAATGTATTAATTATAATAAATTAATAATTACAATTATATTTTATTTATCAATGTAACTTACTTACATGATAGTAACTTGTATCTAGTTACGCAACATAAAAGCATCTAGTAACTTGTAACTAGTTGGGTACACATTTCTGAAGTTACTTGTAACTTATAACCAGTTACAATAAAATGAATAACTTGTCCGACCCAATAACCATTAATATTATATATCATGAAACAGTATTATTTAAAACTCGTTATAGTTATTATAGTAAGGTACTCATAATTATTAGAAAGACAGTAAAATACCGAAAATAAAACAACCGGAATGTTGAAATTACGGACTATAATAATCCCGTATTGTAAAATTTAAAGAAATTAAAAACCATTATATGTATGGAACACAAATTGTATTGAAAACAAAAATTCTGGACTGTAAAATCCACAAAATTTAAATACGATGACTCTAATCGATTCGGAACTTAAAGCTATAACAAGAAAAAAAATAAATTTGGAAATTCAAATTTCGAATTTTAAAAGAAAAAATAGAAACAATATGCATAGAATTGTAATTTAAGTTAACGGAACGTAAATTGATCGGAATTAAATAACTCTGACCGTAAAACGCCCAGAAAACCAAATTACAAGATGTCAATAAAATCTCAGAAAAAAACTCAATCCTGAAATCATAGACTATTATGATTCCGTATAATAAAATGTAAAGAAATTAAAAAACATTGAATATGAATTCCCGAAAATTAACGGAATTTAAACAACCTGACTGTAATCGGTTTGGAATTTAAAACTAATGAACAAAAAAAAGAACTGATACTGTGGACAGGTATGCCACTGGTGTTGGTGGGAAGTTGGAAAGGTTTTCCTTCAGGGCATAGTTGTAAGTATAAATTAGTATCGTTTTGAATCCCTGAAACATGACTAATCCTTTAAAACTGTAGTGTTTTATTTCAGAAGCCCGCGGTAGTGGAGATTACCGCCAAAAAATATTTGAAAACGAACAGTACCTGTATAAGATATCATACCTTTTACTTATCGCGGAGATATATATATAATTTTGTAATAATTCATTACAGTTTAGTACAATCAAGGCTACGTATTATTTCCTTAACTTTGAAATTTGAAAAAAATACATTTGGTTATAATATATAATTCATTTCGATATGCTATTATTTCAGTAAAGAGAACGACTTAAACAGAACCGAGGCTCTGGAGTAAACTTATTGATCCCGTTTTCTATTGTTTTAACAAGCTATCGTTTTGGGTTCAAGTGCAGTGGATACGGGCTCGACTGGATTCTCAATGATTATAATTTATACTATTACTTAACTAAAATAATCATAAATAGTTATAATAAAGTATATTACTATGTACTATTTGAATATTAATATATATTTAGTATTTACATTTAAGAATTTAAATCACATGAAATAAGTGTAATGAAAAACATTAGGTAGAATTGAATGAAGACGATATTACCTATACAGATTTATAGAGCATTGCAAAGTCACGCAGGTGTCATGACGAAAAAATTGAGCAGCCTAAAAACAAAAAATGTATTTATATTAAAGTGTTAAGCGCTCGGTTAACTCTATTCGTATCAAGAAAAAAGATAGAATACACAGAGAGGAATAATTTTAATAATTTCGTTTATTGATTACTGCAGTCTAAAACATGGATCCAGAATCACAAATAGGGGGGAGCTTATACCATGACGAGTTATCAAAAATTATACTTATTAGATAATTTGTATTAAATACAATAGTAATAACACAAATTGATACAAGACAGTTAATTTATTGAAAAATATATATGATGGATTAAAAATTAAAATGTATAATAATTACAGCCCGAGGGTAGGGGCTAAAGTCCCTTAGCCCCCTCCTTAGATCCACATCTGTGCAGTCTATTATTTCATTTTGAACTCCAAACGGTCATTTTAAAATGTATACTTTTTTTTCAAATTGACACATTACTATTGAATAATAATATAATATAAAGTTTATATTGTAAACGCTAATCAATGAGAAAATACATATAATAATATATTGTAATCCGAACATGGATACAAATATTGTTAGCGCCACAACGCTCCAAAATGTTAACGGTCATAATACATCATAATATTACAGTTAAATACTTATGGGTTTAGTATGAAACATAGGCAACTTAACAAAAATATTATAACAGTGTAATAACTGCGTCCCCGAATAATCCGACGAGTATCCCGTATTCTGATAATCTACAGTATTATTAGCCAAATAATGCTGTTATTATTTTAAAATTGTATCGCTAAAAAATTATGATAAAAAATATGATTAAATAATTAATTTAAATAAAAAATGTATTACAAAAATATGTAATAAAAAATATGTATATTATAGCAACCTTACAGTATATAATTTGTCATCTTACTTTGACTTAGAGTTTGAGAGCACATGTTATTATCAATAGAATTTTCTACTAAATTTAAAGCAGAGTACGCTTTATCGTCCACATTATTTGATTGGTTGACTATACCAAATGAAAAATGCGATAATAATCACAATAAACCGAATAAAAAATTCGATAATAAACACAATAAACGCGATTAGGTTAAATTATTGGATGCATAAGACAAATTAATATACAGTAGTTATCCGTCATTATCCGTCTATATTCAGAATACAGAATGCTCGAGTTATCTATAGTTTTTCTTTCGAGTAATCGAAATTTTCACAAGGGAACGGCATTACTTCGACTTATCAAGGTTTTCGATTTATAGAGATTTTACTGGAATTAAAAATAAATGTACAACTTATGTTATATGAAGTGTGATACGAATATTAGTCGGACCATTAGAATGCAATTTGCAGTATAAGTGTAACTATGTGATTATAACCACAGATTAGGTTTAACCTATCCTTTAAAATAACCACGGTTAAAGATAGTACATGTGTAGTATAGTATAACTGTGATTAGAATACATAACTAAGTGGTTATTCTGTGACTGATGTTTGACGCAATAATAAAATAACAAATTGTGGCTAAAAATAAATTAAAATATAAACAATAAAAGCGAAAACGAGAATATACATACAATCTTATAAACCAACAATTTTGAACAAATTGTTTTCTTTTTATTGGTGGGTACGCCGATTATTATAATGAATTTAGTTAGGTAGTATAAGATGAACTCCCAAGTTCGACTAAGAGCTCTGACTCATTCTCATGACACATGTTTTAGTGAGTCACGATTTTTAAAATTCTTATCGGGGCAATTTGGTTTACGGCTTTTTCATGGGATTTGAATCTAAAATAAAAAATATTGTTATTATACAGTTTATTAAAAATGATTATAGGAAAAGATTACACTAGAGTAAACCATTTACTACCATTGAAAGAAGATTTTGAGGATAGTTACGAAGAATTTTTAAATCCAACAACAATCACTAGTTTTGCCGCTGCAGCCTTCAGAGCGTTCCACAGCAATATACAAGGATTCATAGAGTAACAATATTATACTGTTAAATTAATTTAGAAAATTTTGAAATAATTGTTTCTTATATTGAGGGATTTGTAGTTTAAAGTTTATTTAAATTCATTTTTTTCTCATTCGCCAATCACCACGTAGGTGCAACTCTTATGCTTACCCCTTCACATCTCCTTATAGTAAATCACCATTACTGCATTTAATATACAAACAGTAGTATATTGATTTTAAAATGATTTTTTTTTTTTTTTAAAAAAAAAAAAAAAAAGATTAGTCAACGAAGCCCGGCAAACTACGTCAACAATACGTCTAAGAGATTACTATTTTAAAACTGACATAGTTCACGGAAACGATAATTATAACAGCTTTGTCAGAGGATTGCTTACTCAACCGTCCCAAGAACTAGATCAATTATACACAGAAGAGGTAAGTATACTTAAAAAACTTATAATATTATTTTTGACAGTGTATAAAAAAACCTTAGACAATTAAACACTGAGATGAAAAAAAAACCACAAAAATTCACGCATTGTAATAATATATTATAATAATATCATTTATTATTTTAACACATAATTTTTTTTTTCAAGAATATCGATGCTTTGGCCAAATTATATGAACACGTGGACGACATTGATTTTTACGCTGCCGGTATTTTAGAAAAACCGAAAGATGGAGCGCCATGGTAGGACACACATTCCAGTGCATTATCGGAGAAATGTTCTTCAGATGGAAGTTCGGCGACAGGTTTTATTACGAATTCGGAAATCAACCCGGTTATTTTACCCGGGGGAAGCGTCTTCGATCAATCTTCAAATTTTAGAGTAGAATTTTTACAACATTTACTATATATAATTATAAATTATATACAGGATGTAATAGGACTATTTGACATTTTCACATTTTAATTACATGTAAAAATATCAAATAGCCCAGTTACATCCTGTATATAACTAACTGCCCCGTGCCCGTGCTAATTTTTTATTCTTTTTACCTTTATTTCTCTTTTGCTTTGCCCATATTATTATTATTATTATTTGCCCAGTATATTGAACTAAAAAGCGTAGTTGGAAAGTGGGTAGTCTGCGGACTAAAAGTGTTCTAGTGTATCAAACATACATTCGTATTACCATAGATACCCGCACAACACAGGGATTAAACTTTATATATCAACTATAATAACCTTAAAATTATGAGGACATAATAGTACTGTAGTGTTGTTACTGTAACAAAAAATACAAAACTTCAGAGATGATGTTTTACGTGTTTTTACTTTACACTTATCCACCCAGTAAAGCGCATAGTTTTTTGTTTTGTTTGTTCATTCATGTTACCAAAGTACCCCATCCTATTTTAAGCCAGTAATAGATCGGCAGACAGTCAGATGGACTATTTAATTATCAACTATTATAATTAATTAATATAATTAACTATTTATTGTAAGTTGCTATAGTTGTTATGACATTTTTATTTCTGTTCAGTATTTATTTTAGATTCTAAGCGGATCGAGGAATGTACGGTATGTTGATTGTACAGTGATGTTTATTTTTTTTTTTTTTTTATGTGAATTTGTTCTACCAGAAAGCTTGCTCTGGTTATCAAGTATCGCATCTTTTCCAGAAGGAAATGTTCTCTAGGTGGTGCTTTAGAGTGGTTATTTTTAAAATCCTCATTAATATGCGAGATAATAAAGAAAATCTTTAGGTTAAAAAAGATTGAAAGATTAAAAATAAAATTGCCATTGGCAACCATTTTTATTTATTTTTTGTAAAAGAGTAACAAACATTCATCAAAGATTCAACCATACATCCTCACAAACTTCCACATTCATAATATTATAGTAGGATGTTATTTATTATTATTATACTTTTTTTTAAAAAGATCAACTCACAGAAATACGAAAAACGACATTAGCAACCATGATGTGTATGTCATCAAATATTAAGACTATACAACAGAATGCGTTTGAAATACCCAATTATAATAAGTAAGTATATCTTCTTATAAATTGTATATATTATAATATTGCATATTCGTGATAAAAGTTACTATGAAAATTAGTGTATCGGTAACTGTAATATTATTAATATTATAGTTCACTAACACTTATTTATATTATAACAATAATACCAACCAAATTATTAATTTATTCATTTCAGAAATCCACTAGTATCATGCAACCATATACCAAAACTCAATTTGAATGCTTGGAAAGAATAATAACTTTACTGAAATATACTTTATTCTAATTATAATTATTTCTCTACGTTATTATGTAAAACTTAAAAGTCGTATTATCAATTTTTGTATTCAGAACCTCATACATAGAAGTAATCAAAAGTTAATTATACAATAGTATTATTTGTATTATTATTTATTATTGTAAAATTGATAAGGATTTTACACAATTCCTATTGTAATATAATTTTTACAGCACATATTTCTTAGCATCTTGTATATTATTATGAATCAATGTATTATTATCATTAATTGGTAGGTTGAATAAATAAATGTTAATAATGATTTACGAAAAAAGTTGTTTCAGTCAAACATGATATCTAATTATTTAAATTAATTCCAATATATCATTTAAAAATGTATATGCAATCTATTGTCCTTCCCTACTACTCCAGTCTAAACTTTAAATGATGAAAACTCATAAACGCTACCAAAATCTGATATTAGTGTTCTACACATAATTGTGCCCTCAGCATGTACCAGGTGTGTCATAGATGATATTTCAGGGAGAGGGCAAAAAGAAGATCTGATGCTACTGATGAGTGCGCCCCTGTTGTAGATTGAAAATTAGGAAGATAGGAAACGTAATGTTATTCAATTTATATCTGTAGGCAACGATAAACAATATTGCTAACGAAATACGAGTTTAATCGAGATTAAGTAACTGAACTATACATGTTTGAAAGTCATATTTTTTGTAAAAATGTTATCTTATAAAAAAACTACTGAATTACGCTCTACATTTTTTTGTTTTTACTACTAAATATAACTTTTAATAAACATCGTGTATGTAAAATGTTCAGGCATTTCTGTTTGGTCAAACAATTTTATACCCATATAGTAGTATAGTACCCATCTTGTAAAAACTTAAAAAAACTCAAAAACGTGAAATGCATATAAACAGCTCTAAAACTCAAACATTTTCTGAACATTTTCCCATGTCTATCTTTCCATTATGAGTATACTGTGAATATTTCCGGTCTTGGCAATTTATTTTAATCAGAATTAAAACAAAAAAATAAAACTGAAAATAATGAAACCATTATTTCTGTGAACTTTCCAGTTCTTTCTACGACTTTTCCTGGTTTTGACCAATTATTAAGAAAACCTAAACACGACTATCTTACCCACTACCAAAATCCAAAATGTGACACAAAAGTTCGTTTTAAAAAAATTAGTCTATGTAAACATTTCTAAGAAATTATTCTCTATTCAGATCTCTGTTCAAAAAAGGGGTTCCTATTTTAAAAACAAAAGTATATACTTATTTAAGGTATATGAAATACAATATGGGTAAAGTTAGGTTATTGGCTGATTATTGGTTTTACTAAAATGATTCTTTTTTTTTCTTTTTTTTTCTTTTTTTTTATACTGTATACAAAAATTTGATCATAAATCGTACTCAAATATATACACACAGCATCACCATTTCTGAAAGGGAATGTTGTCCAGATGTACAATTTTTCGTTTTTCTCACGTTTTATCATGGTTTTTCCCAGATATTATCCCAACTGAACTGCGCTCGGAATCGTTTTTTATAAAAATGTTATATGAAAAATTGACAAAAATCTTAAATATTACGGCCTTTCAAAACATTTATAATCGAACTTCGCTCCGAATCGTTTTTCGTTAGCAAAATTTTAGCTTACAGGTATAAATAAAATAACTTTATGCACTCTACCTTCCCAACTTCCCACCTACAACAATGGCACACCCGTCCCAGTATCAGTTTTTTAAATATTATTTTTAAAATGATTTTTTTATTTCTATCATGTTGTTCAAGTAAATAATTTACAATTGTATAATATTTTTCAATATTTCCAGAATAATTATTTGTTGAAATGCACGTAATATGTATTATCGAATTTTCTGCTTTGCAATTTTTTTTTTTTTTTTAGGGCAATTAGGCAGGTATATGATTTTATTACGCCATTTCAATATATTATTTATGGTGATTAGCATTAATTATAAAATACGGTATTTATATTTAACATTTTGAAATCGTTTGATTCGACCGTAGACAATATGAGAAATATTTCGAATTTGTGTGCAAAAACATTCTCGAATTCACCGGATAATAACGGACGTATACAAAACGCAGTTTATGTGGACGGGCGGTTACTCGAGGATTCTCGAATATTCTGCGTCCGCGCGCCGCACTCCGAATTCTAGAATATTCTCCCGTCAATATATACGCCGGCGATCATCACGGCGTCGGTCAGTTTGTTTTCGCCGTGCTTGTCGATCAGATCGTTCTGTAACTCGCTCGTACATCGATACCGGCCTTTTTCGGAAGTCAGAACCGTACAAAGCGATTGAAGATTTGTGTTGTCGTCCGATCCGAATCGACAATCGATCACCGTAAAAGGTACGTATGTTATATTCGGATCAGTTTCGAAATTAAAATGCATAAATAACTACATAACTATATATATTTTTTTTTTTTAAATTCAATTTAACTACTTTAACTTGACTGAACAGTGTAGTTTTATGATTTAAATCTCGTAAAAAATTATTTTACAGTCGTCCACCTTCTTGCGTAATATATACTTAAGAGACATTTAATAAGATTTTATAAATAACCTATATTATTATAGTTATTATATTATTATATTATAGGTAGGTATGACAATTTAATTGCATATGACATGGAACACATTTAGACATATACGTTTTTTTTTTTTTTCTATTCAACGTCTCAATTGGTATTTTTATTAGTTTTATTTTCATTGATTTACTACACTATTTGTAACTATTGTTTTGACTTGGTAGAGTATAAATGATTTCTATAATATATATATTTCTTTTTAGATGTCTCTGTTACCATTTTTATTGGAGGATCTTTCACGCCCAACCGTATACGATCAGCACTTTGGTCTGGGATTGTTAGATGACGTGTTGGTACCAGCAGAATATAATCCGCATTTCGGAAGAGATCCTTTTGGAATTAGAGGTTATCAAAGACCAATGCGTCTTGTGGCAGCGCCTAAAAGTGGTCTGTCTCGTATTCGCAATGACAAGGATGGCTTCAAAGTGAATTTAGACGTTCAACAGTTCAAACCCGACGAGGTCACTGTGAAGGTGATTGATGACTACATCGTAGTGGATGGAAAACACGAAGAACGCAGTGATGAACACGGTTTCATTTCTCGTCAGTTCACTCGTCGTTACAAAATCCCAGACACTGTTGANGCTCCCAAGAAGGTATAGTTTAAAATAATATTTATTGTTAAAATATAACCATAGGTAAATAGACATAAAATAATAATTATTATTATGTCTATGCATAATATGTAATAGTATTTATCAACGGGTAATAACATATTAATGATGTCTGTTGAATTATTTAGGTTATCAATGAAAAGAAGGAGGAGATATCCATTCCCATTGTTCAAACCAATGAGCCTAGTATTAAAGTATCTGCTAACAAAGAAAAAAAGGAAGAAGAAAAAATGGATACTAAATAATTGCTTAATAAGTTAATAATTAAGATTGATAAATTTCCCACTATTTCCACTGTTTAAGAGACTTTTTAGTATATGTTCCTTAATTGTATTATTTTTTTTTTTTAATTTGAATTTACATGTAAGTTTTATGATGATGATAATAAAACTAAACTCTTGCTGAAATCTTTTTTTTTTTTTATTATTATATCTAAGCACCTGTTATTCAATTATGTTTATATGCAAGTGCCTAATTAATAACTATAGTCTGTTCGGATTGAGACTAAATAAAAATGAAGTTGATTTTGAAATTTTAACATTGCGACAATGTAAAAGGTAACTGAATCTGTTATTACCAAAAATATCCACTTAGGTACCAACTCCCTAAATAATCAACTAATGACTCAAATAACTCTGATAACTAGGAGAAATGCTATATTAGTGTTAGCTTATTAAGTTAACAGTAATCTACACTCTACATAGATATAAAGACAAATAATCAATTCTTGTAATTTAGTTTAATCATCAAAAACACTTCATTACACCAGGCTATCAGTAAAATCTGTTTTAAATTAACAAATTTATTAGTTTAAGGAGTTACCTGTTCGTTATCCAAAATCTTCCGCCACCAAAGTCAATTGTTGTCTACTATTAATTTACAAATGATTTTTCCACAGAAGATAGAAAGTTTACCAAAAAATGATTTCAAAGCAGCTTCTGCTCTATTGCAATAATAAAAAATATTTCCATTCAGAAATAATGCCACACGTACCTAAATACCTGGGCAAAATTTCTGGAGGAAATGTATTGTTGTTATAGTGTGAAAAAAATAAATAAACGTCTTTGAAAAACCAACACATTCTTCACTACACTGAGAATCTAAAAATTATTTTTACCTAACCTAACCTAACATTGTTTTACATACCTGTGGATACAGTAGTCACTTGAATCTTTCTTCTTTATTCTTAGTAATTCAAAAATGTCAACATGAAGCAAAAATAATGTAGAATATATTCAATTATAAATGTTATGGTAGGTTATTTTGTGATAATTTGTTAAGAATATGAAACAGGGGAAAGATTGCGATGCGAACAATAAGAAAGAAGTGGATTATAGCGGTAAAAAAATATTTGACACTCTATATCATGTCCGTAGCATATTATACCTATATTATCAGGTCTATGATAATTTCGCGAGGTGGGTCAGAAAAACTATACCGGTGTAACAAAAACTTTTGAACCGGTATAACAAACGAATTTCTTTATTTTATACCGGTATAACCAAACGAATTTCTAGAGTTCTAGACGGTGTACTGGAAATTTGGCTCAACTGTAGTAAAAATAGATAACAGTAACCTTAAATAACGTTGTTTTACGTCGTCCATTTTCAGTAAAAATAATTTAAAAATGTGTTAAACAGTTATTTATATTAATTTATATATTTCGGATGATAACAACAAAATGATAACGATGGTGCTCTAATCAGTATATATGTTCATGCTCTAATCGATTGCGAACATAGACCTTGCACAGTTATACTGCGAATAGACCGGGACGTACTTACCTACTAGACTACTACACATGTCCGGAATAGACCTTGGATCATGTACAATGGATAGCGCCGCAGCCTACAGAATACATATAAATATATAATATCGATAATGTTCATGTTAGCGACGAGTCACCAGATGAGTAGCTTTTAGTACGCATGCGCGCCGGTGACTTATCGCATATTTATCTCAAATTAACAACATATATATTTTGACCTGATAGTAAGTTGGATTATCCGTGTTTACTTTACATCGAGAATTAAGATATCTTCACAGACATATATTAAATATTTATGTATTATATGTGTATGGATATATTAATTCGTGATTTATATCACTGCCATAGAGTAATAATTACTCTATAACATAGGACCGTGCTCTATCCCCAGGGTATCCAGGTTTAATAGTTATCACTTTTGATGTTTACTCAGATAATATAGATTACATTATCTATGGAACTTGTTTACTGATATCGATAATTAAATTTTTTAATGGGCACCTATTGGTCCTGTTGAGTATTGATTTACTCTGTTATTTTCTCACCCAATATGTTATATTTTGAATTATTTCGTTATTTATTAATTATTACTTGATTACCTAAATCAATAATTACTTTATATTTTTTTTTATCTCAGTATATGAGTCTAATTTGTAACTTATGGTACACATTTTTAATGATTTACCGCACAAAGACATGGCTGAAAAACTTCAGAAAGCTTTGAACTATCTACTAATAGAAAATTATACAATACAAGACAAAACGTTGCTAGAAAAATTGTTAACATGCTTATACAATGAAGGTAAATGGCTTAAACAAATGTTTTTGTTTAGTTCTTTATTATGTACTTACCAAATTTGCAGATATTCTGTTGAAAACAATACCAATCGAAAACCATTTGAAATGGTTTACCAGTGTTTTAAATGTTTATAAGCAGCAAACACCAATAACAAAAAACTGGGCTATACATTTATATGCTTTTGCTTTAAAATACCTCTCCATATTGGTTAAATCAAATGATGGATTAGTTGCATTAATTGAAACACAGACTCTTCAATCAATGATTAATCAACTCGACGTTGCTACTAATTTTAAAGAGTCTTCAGTTTTCAATGCTTACATATTATTGTTACAAACATTAAATACTCACATACAAGGCATTGAGTATGTTTTCCAAGAAGGTAATTATTTTAAGTTTAGGTTTGATTTTATTATATAAATTACATTTTGTTTCAAGTATTTCTATTTATTTATTTAATAGATACCCGGTTTAGTACATTTCACTCTTCAGTATATTTTCACATTTTCTTTGCGCTTCAAAATAAATTAATATTTATTATAATTTTTTATTTAGTAACATTTTATTATAAATCCTAGGTACATTATATTATAAATTATAAATCTTTTATAGTGTGTAACGCTGCACATGAGTCACAAAATTTGTTTTATGAGCATAACGTACACATTTATTATAGAACATATAGCACAATATTTCTTAGGAAACATCTTTAATAAATAATTATTTTTTTAGGTCTATGGAAAAATATACTTTTTGCTATAAATGGATTAATTATACCAGCAAAGTATGTTGAAATTCAATCCAGTCAATACATTGCCGACTTAATTTATAAATCATTTGAGCATGGAATGGCACATTATTGCGAACCTCTTTTCAAAGATCTGTTCTTGAAATTGAACTCAATTGATAATCTTATTGGTAGTTACCAAGTAAATGATTTTTCAGCATATAATGTTTATATAAAAACATTAATATTATCATTGGAAAAGTTTGTTGGAACTAAATATGAATCTGATGTATGTCTTTATATAATTGAAAAATACTCTCTATCTGATGTATTAGTGAATATTCAAAAGCTCTCAAATGTCAACCCAATGTTATTAAAAAATTATATGACATTGCATTTGTTGTTTGACACTTTTACTACTTGGCATCATTCTGACATGGAATTTATATTAAAATTGATTGGTTCTCGGCTTAGTATGGTAAAAGATACACGATCATATAAACAAATGAATTATTTATGTGTACAAGCAATTAGATATGCAAACATCACTAATACACAATTGTCTGGTAATATACAATTTGAAAAGGAATTAATCATTGCTCAGGTAAAAATAAATTTGTATATATTATTCTGTTAAATAAATTAATATTTTAATATTATTTTATTTGTATGTTTAGATTATACCTTTAAAGAAATATTCAGAATGGCTTAAGTGTAAACAAAATGACAATGAGGAATTCATATTTGATGAAAATAGCGGTGTTATAGAATCAAAATTAATATATAATTGTTTTAATAGTTCTGATTCAATGATGAATGAAGTGGCTGTTTCTTCTATACTTAACATCATAGACATTGTTCCTATACTTAAACAGGTTAGTTGGATTTATTTTGTTCCTTATATTGTAATAAAACTTTCCATGATCATATTTGTAGATTAATCATTTGAAGGTTAGAATAAATAAATAAATTAGTGATTTTTTTTTTAAATTTCAATAATTATAGACAACTTTTAAATTGATTTTGCTTAATTTGTAAACTAAACATACACTTGTAATTTAAATATTAAAAACAATATTTCTGTATGTTTGTCAACTTGGGAACAATTAGAGCCTATCTAATTTTAACCTACTTGTGGTTTTTCAATTTTTTTTTTCTAATTTATATTTTAAATCTCAATTAATGCTTTAGGATACTATACTTCTTGCAGCAATATTAAGTTAGAAATGTAAAGTTTTATAAATCCAATACGAACTTATAGATGTCGCGAAAGCTGTCTTGTGTAATGAGAGTTAGTTTTACATTTAGTACACTATCCTTGGAGCAGTATTAAGTTTGAATCTGTAGGCAGTATGTTGCTAGATGAATTCCCCCCTCTCTTTTAAAGTGGTCTGTGCAACAGGACTGCACTCAAGATTGTTTGTAATGCATATTTTGTAAAGGAACATACAACAGTCTTTAAATTGCTATAACTTATATGTAATAAAATAATAGTTTCTGATTGCACCATTGTCTTTAGCGTTGAAAAACACATATTTTAATTTGTTTAAATATTAAATTGTTACTAAGAAATGCGCGTAGTAGAAAACCTGAACTTTTTGAAGTTTTCCTCTTCAACTTCCAAATGAAGTTTGTCAGACTTTTTTACACATTTTTAATGTATAAGTGAAACTATATATTTTGAAGAAAAAAAAATTGCCAGTAAATTAAAATTATACCTTAACTTGATTCATTATTTTAAGATGGTTTTGTGTTTTATTTTTGAAATAATTTGTTTATTTTGTTTAAAGGAATCATTGGATTATTTGATAATTTTTATGTCAAAATTAACAAATCAATATTTACATCCTAACAATTGGAAAACTCAAACACTGGAACAAGGTTTAACTTATTACAAAGTTCTAGAAATATTACGATACGTGTTTATATGTTGGGCTAAATTACTTGAATATAAATTGTGTATTGACAATATTGTACAAAATAATTTGTTGATACCACTTATACAAAACCATAGTCATTTTTTAATCAAAATCGGGTCCGATTCTACTCTTCTACAGGTAAATAAATCAAATAGTGTATACATATTAATATTATTTATATGTCACATAAATTATTATTACCTATTATGATAGGTAATAATGTGTAATGATATAATTTAAATTTATTTGCTAATATATTCACTCAAAAAAAAAAAAAATGCCAGCACTGTAGATAAAGGGATTGTAACCCTAACTATTGTAGTATATACTATTTACAAAACTAGATTGTATTATTTGTATTATATTTGATGTATATGGGTTTATATTATAGAATGGGTTGCAGTTAATTAGTACTGCATTAAAAAAAAGGATTTATGAAAATGCTCATTGTACAGACTATATAGCAGCTTTTGACAAACTATGTAGTACATTCCAGAATTTTCTATTGGATACTAGACCAGAAATTCGAGATAGCTCTTTGCAGTGTATTTCTAGTGTAATAATTGGTGCTAACTACAAATCTGGCGAGTGAAATGATCAAATAAATATGACTAACAATAATATTATTAACAGTTAAGTTGTTATTTTGAATTCATGTAATAATTATATTAACTTTTTTTAAACAGGAAATTTTTTCATAAACCTAATGATAGAAAAAAACTTGCCAATAGATGTTTTAAATACACTTAAACATGATAACGATCCATTTGTTAGAGCAATGGCCGTTGAATGTTTAGAAAAAATGGTATCTATTTCAGATATTTGGGAAACTTCATTAAAAGAGTCTGATTTAATAGTATGTAGTATTTATTAAAGCTGTGGTTTTCAACCTGTTCCTAGGGGCGCCGTTGTTTATTATCAAGAGAGCCACGTCTATAGTAAATATAGTAGAGTATTACAGTAAATTTATTTACTTAAATTTTCATTATTATCATTATTATTAAGGGAACTGCTAATTTGGTTTTCAAAATCAGACGAACCATGAATCCAAAAAGGTTGAAAACCACTGTTTCAAGGTATATTAAATTTAAAAATATGATAAAATAATATTTTTTTATCTAATTTAGAATCATTGTTTATTTTTAATGCAATATGAACATGAAGGAATTATTCGACGACAAATAGTTAAACTTCTTACTGCGATATTCAATTCCAATGAGCTCTCGTATGTATACAAAAATAAAACCAATTTATTAACATAATAATACAAAGTGTCCTACAGTGGTATTCTTATACTAATAACTGCAATATTCATTTTTTTTTTTTTTCAATTGGATTAAAATGTAATTTTTATTTTCATTATTTAATCACTGAAAAAACAACTATTTATTTTTCTAAATTTTAAATTTTCAAAATAGCCATTTTGTAAAATATATTATTCTAAAAATGTTAAGGTACAGGTAACCTAACTTGACCAATACCTACTAAAATGTATACCTGATTAATAGTTTCTTAATTATAGCGGCTGTAATGTAGGTATTGAAAATAATTAATATTCAATAGAAGATAAGGATTGCCATACTGATTTTGACTCCTTATCATATAACGTGTTAGTTTATTGAAAATTGTTTTCATACCAATTTTCTAGAAATTAAAACTGCTAATACTAAAAAACTATTGATCAGATATAAATTTATGATACATTCAAATGTTTAAAATAATATCTTTTTCAAAATGGCTATTTTGAAAATTTTTAAAAGTTATAAAATAAAAAGTTATTTTTTTTCAACGAAAAAAAGATGAAAATAAAAATTTAACTTTTCTCTACATTTGTGTCCCCTTGACATAGAACGTGACTGAAAAAAAAATGAATATTAACAAAGTTATTAGCATTCAGATAACACAGTAGAACGCTCTGTATGTAGAATTAATACTTGAAATTATATTTATGTATACATTTTTAGTAAGACACTATTCAATCAAATTTGTGTTTTAATGGTTCACATTAGTGTTAATGATCCGCTTTGGGAAGTAAAAATATTTGCCTATGAATTTTGGGACTTGGTTATTAAAAAATTAGTTATAAAAAAATCTTGTATACATAACGGAACTAAGACACTGAACTATAGTCTTATTGAATTAAGTACAACCGGTTGTTTGCATGTAAGTTGATTAATTAAATATGTATCTCTAATAAGTGTTTATATTATTGTTATGTAAATTATTAAATAATTAAATTTAGGTACTTTATGTTGCATTAAAAGAAGAACATGATTTAGCTGTTCAAAAAAAAGCTATTTACATAACTAAAGAATTGCTGTCTTATATAAGTTCTACTAATATGTATAGAAGTATGTCAGACTTGAATATGGAAGTAGGAATTGAATCAGAAAATTGTGTAAATAATATTAATGAAAATGAAGATGATTCTGAAACTAATTCTGAGATAAAAAAATCTAGACAAATTGATTCAACGACTCGAGTTTTAAACACACTTTCTGTAACAAGTGACTGTGAATTATTATGCAGCCTCAAGAATGCCAACAGGAGTAATATTTATCCAGATGATGTCAGTCTTGTTGAGAAATCCGCTGTCTATATATCAGTTGATGATTTTTTGTCATACACAGATTCATACAATTTTAACGATTGTTGTGCTAAAACTGAATGGGTTATATCTACAAGATCTGGTTTAGATTCAATGTTGAGTGATATTATAGGCTATTCAACAAATTCTTTTGTTGAAGGAGCCGATCTTTTAGATTGCTATTAATATTATAAAATGTGTTAATAATAATAAAATTATGTTCACCTATGTGTATCCAATTTTATGCATAGATTTAAATTTCACTAGGATATTGATTTATACTTTATTTACTAAATTATAATTATCATCTAAGAGTTACCCACAACATATATTTTCATTTACTTACATGATATTTATTTAAATTGTAATTTTGTTTTATATTATGAGATAACAATTTATTTTGACTAGTTAAAAAATAATACATTTTTAAGCCAGATTTACACTTGTCAGACCCGTACTGACAGACACCGTACCGTAGCTTTCCAACACAGACATACTGTACTCACACTTTCGATCCAACATCGTTTTGTTTTGAATAATTTTACCTCGTACCATTTGAAATATGTTTAAACAATTTACAAACTGTGATTTGGCAATGATTGCTATTATTCTAGTAATAATAATAACAACATTTAGTTAATATTACCAGGCATGCCTATAGATTTTGAAACTTCATTCCAGCAAGATTCTTTATACACATGATCACTATATTTTTTGTGACTATGCATAGAGTCATTCTCGTCATTCTCGTCAATTTAAATAAATATTAAAAAAATATGATGGTGTTTACCGAATGGTGTGCCAGCAAATGACAGCAGACGGATAAAATTTGTCTGTTGTTCATTCACTTATCAGTCAGACGTGTTCCGACCCGTTCAGACACTGGCCGTTCCGACAAAACATTCTCGCGCGGAATGTCAAATGAAATGTCGGATTGGTACGTGTATGAACTGAACGGAATGTTCAAATGTGAATTACCTATATTTAAACACATAATAAAATAATTTGCTGAACGGTACGGTGTCTGATAAGTGTGAATTGGGCTTTATAAATACTAATATTTAATATACAATTATTATAGATTTAATCAGGGCAGATTAACCTAACCTTTAAGCATACAAATTTATTTTACTTAAAGTGTCTTCAAACTCCACAATTTAAATTACTACCAATCAATGTCTTAGATATGTGCACAAAAAACTAACCTCTAGATCAGTGGTTCCCAACCTGAGGTTACCTTCAGGGGTAAAGACCACTGTTCTAGAAAGTTTCCTAAACAACCTTATCCCGACCCAATTGAGTAAACATGTAGATATTAGATTCATTATTCTAATCCCCTGTAACATAGGCCAGGGTCTGTAACTCCTCAAGTCTTAAGCAAGACTCCCTTAAGAACAGTAACAATAAATAAATAGCTGCAAACAACTTAGTATTGAATAAATTACTGTCGCAATGTTAAAATTTCTCTATCAACTTATGTTTTCTAATCATTAAATTAAGCACTTGTATATAAAAAATATTAAATAATAGGTATACTTAGTATAACAAAATAAACAAACTTCAGTAATAAATTAGTTTTATTATCATAAATCTACGTTTACAAAACTTCAAAAAGGAGTTCCTATATTTTGAAATAGTAAAAATATTTTGTTATAACATGTAAATTCAAATTTAAAAAAAAAAAATAATACAATTAAGGAACATATACTAAAAAGTCTCTTAAACAGTGGAAATAGTGGGAAATTTATCAATCTTAATTATTAACTTATTAAGCAATTATTTAGTATCCATTTTTTCTTCTTCCTTTTTTTCTTTGTTAGCAGATACTTTAATACTAGGCTCATTGGTTTGAACAATGGGAATGGATATCTCCTCCTTCTTTTCATTGATAACCTAAATAATTCAACAGACATCATTAATATGTTATTACCCGTTGATAAATACTATTACATATTATGCATAGACATAATAATAATTATTATTTTATGTCTATTTACCTATGGTTATATTTTAACAATAAATATTATTTTAAACTATACCTTCTTGGGAGCACCAACGCTGAGCACACCGTCCGATGACAAAGATGATGTAATCAATTTTGGGTCGACAGTGTCTGGGATTTTGTAACGGCGAGTAAACTGACGAGAAATGAAACCGTGTTCATCACTACGTTCTTCATGTTTTCCATCCACTACGACATAGTCATCGACCACCTTTACAGTGACCTCATCTGGTTTGAACTGTTGAACGTCTAAGTTCACTTTGAAACCATCCTTGTCATTGCGAATACGAGACAGACCACTTTTAGGCGCTGCCACAAGACGCATAGGTCTTTGATAACCTCTAATTCCAAAAGGATCTCTTCCGAAATGCGGATTATATTCTGCTGGTACCAACACGTCATCTAACAATCCCAGACCAAAGTGCTGATCGTAAACGGTTGGGCGTGAAAGATCCTCCAATAAAAATGGTAACAGAGACATCTAAAAAGAAATATATATATATTATAGAAATCATTTTACACTGTCAAGTCAAAACAAAAGTTACGAATAGTGTACCTAATCCATTTTCATAAAACTATATAAACTAGGTAATGAAAACTAATAAAAATGCCAATAGAGACATCTGAAAAAATCTAATTTCACGTCAATTAAATTGTGAGAAAATGACAATACATTTATGACGCTTTATTGGTTATAGGTAATGTCTATCAAGTAAATATTGTGCAAGACCTACCTAAATATAGGTACAATATATTAATATCCATTAAAATTGTTTTAACATAACTAGAGTAAGTATATTAATAGAGAAAACAAATAAATGTTCGTAAGTAAATCATTTGTGATAATTACATTTAATTCAAATTGGCAAAATTGTATTTCAATAAGTTTATTTTGTTAATATGTAATTATTTTGAATTATAGCCATAGAAACATGAAAATCAAAATTCTTAAATAATCAATAATGACAATAGTAAATTCGTATAAAAAACAGTATCGGCATGGTATTGCTCATTCAGTAGGTATATATAATGAATAGATATCTTAGGCATCTTAAATCACACCCAATAACACGAGCAATAAAGACAATAAACACATATTAAGCACAATAATTATTAGGTATATGCAGTGTTCGTAGAATAATTTAGAGAGTAATCGAAAAAAACAATACTTTATTTATAACATTGTAATCATAAACGAAAATAGAACGTTTAGTCAAAGCAATCAAATTGGAGTTGGAAAAAAAAAATATATGTGCCGGTATGCATTAAAAAATTCCAAACCGATACGAATATAACGTACGTACCTTTTACAAGAATCGGTTCGGATTTGACGACAACAGGAATTTTCAATCACTGTGAACAGTTATTCTGATTTCCGGGGAGAGCCGGTATTGATATATCCGTGAAAATCGGAGAGACGAACGGAACGGTCCGACAGGCAAGCACAACGAGAATCAACTGACGACGCCGGAACGGTTGCCGGCGTATATATTAGCGGGAGAATATTCTAGAATCTTCGAGTGTAGCGCGGAAACGGAATATTCGAGAATCTTCTGGTAACCACCGCTTGTCCGACCGAATTGCGTCGCGTCGACTTGAAATAGATCGTTAATCGTTATTTTCAGTGTAGTCGAGAATGTTTTTTAACACGTATTAAATATATTTCTCATATCGTGTGCGGCCGAATCGAACAATTCGTTTGTATATAGATTGAAGCTCATAAAAAATAACGGATTATTTTAGAAATTATGAGACTCTGAAAAACACTCTTCGCATTAGGACGGGAGTAAACCATATTTAACTCTAAATTAACTTGAGATGCTAATTACACTTACGCTTTCCGGTGTGAAAATATAATACTATACGGTGTTTATTTTATTCAAGGAATAAAATAACTTCTTTTATTTCTGTGGTATAGGCAATTTAAAATACACAACGCCCAAACATGTATTTCTTACCAAAACAATCCATAGTTTTTGATCTCACTACTCGAGCGCATTTTCTATCATAAAATACTCAAGGTACTTAAATAAGAAATCTGTGGGTGGATCGATTCATCGAAATTGTACATTTTACAAATTTATTTGTAAAGTTGAAGAGTATTTCTTTGAAATTATTAATGATCCAGACGCTCAGTCTAAAATATCTTCATAATGAAAACCTATATTTTCCACGTTCCATTCACAGAGCTAAGAACGTACTCGTATACTCTATATGAAGTATACAAAAATTTCAATGATCCGCAATACAATATCAAATAGGAAGACTGATCGATCCGATTCGTGTACACATTTGATCGGAACTGTCTACCTGATATCAAAAATAAGGTTGCGATTTCTCAAATTCGGTTTTTATTTATAGTATAGCATTCATACAATCGATATACTTGATTTGATTTTAATTATATTCGACTGTTCTCTATGGGCTTTTATTTAACCCTCACTGATATGTTTGTAACGTATATTACTATGAGAATGCGCCAATAGAGCTATTCAAAAACATATTGAAGCTAAACAATTAAATAAAACAAATTCCACATTATCAAAATTGGTCATTTCTGAAAACTTAATTTCTAATTAATAAATAAAAATACTTGAGTGAGAACTGTGAACCTGATTAATTATTTATTCCACACCTATTCGCGTATACGAACATAAGTTTTATTGCATTACCAAATATTAAGTTCTATTTACGATATTTTACTCATGAACATAATAATATTATGTCTATGATTTTACGTATGTAGGTACATAAAGAACAATATAATATCATTGAATATACATATTATGTATATTATGTATATATTCTGTATAATCAATGATAATATTTATTAATGTAGTCACACAATGTATCACCTAGAGAACGTTGCATGCTTGTGTGAAAACCGAATATGGGCTTTACAATTTTACGGTTCGTCCTGTAAGGGTATGTCTGCCATCATCCCTAATAGGCTGTCATGTATGGAAATGAAATAAACAATTGAAATTCAAAGAAATTAATTATTTATTGAGTATTTACGATAGTTATATTTCCAGTTTATTATGCGCATATTTAATAAGTAATTTATTTTTAATTCTCTGTTAACGCATTAATTTACGGTTGTTATTTTGTGTTTCATGGTTATATCATGTAATATGATTGTAAAAATATTAAAGATTATTAAATTTGATATCGTAAATAAATGATAACGTCCAAACGTATCAGATGATAACAACAAAATGATAAGGCCCGTTGGTCTACTGTTTTATGTGTAGATCCCGGAGTATGATGAAATTGACATACTTGTTCCGCAACTTTTAACTATAGCCGTGCAGTAAACACTGTCTGGTCACGGAAGACGATCAACCTATCCACCCTTTCTTTCATCCTAGATTCCCGAAAAGGTACATAGTGGTTTACAAAAACCACGTACCTAGGTAAGTATCTATCTACATTCTACGTCAAAAAGACCGTTATTAAATTGGGGTTTGAAAAAAAAAATGGTACCTAGCGCTATCGTTAATACTACCGCTAACAACAAAAGCGCGCGCTAAATATCGAAACCACAGATAATATTAAATATTATTGAATTAGGTGTATGTAATGCCTTTGCAGTTTGCACGGTCCGTTGTCAAAACATTCAAAACGTTAATGTACTAGGTATTTAATAAAAACGATGAAATTTATTCCGTCGTGGTGTCGCAATCGATCGTACAATTTTAATTCCCCACTTTTATTACCGTGCCAAATATCATTAATCTGATTTAGTGTTTAATTTTAATGTCCATCTAAAATTTTGCCTACATACATTTTTGATGTTTCTAAGCGTATTAGAGCGGTAGCCCCTTTTGCCCTCCTCTTAGCACTCGCAATTTAAAAGGACTCGGTATATTAATCGGAAAAATATTCGTCAGTAAAAAGTAATTCTTAGGAGTATTATTTGAGCGGAATGGAACAAATTTTCAGGAATAAAATTTTTATATTTCTAATCATTTTTATAATTATGTTCATTGAAAATTATAAATCAACAAAGTAGATAATAATGTAAATAATAAAAGGTAATTCTAATAGTTTTCTTGTACGTGAAAACCACATTGTCATCCATATCACCAAAATAACCTATAAATAAAATTTAATTAGCTAAAAAACCTCTACTTACCCCCTTATTATGGGCTGAATTTTCAAAATCCTTTCTTAGCGGATACCCACGTCATAATACGTTTTTACGACAGCATAATCCGCTCAGTGGTTTGGGCTAGGCGATGATTAATCAGTCAGTCAGTCAGGACGAGTTATTTTATGTATGTAGAAAACTATGGACGATTAAAAACAAAATAAGTTATCACATTACCTGAACTGTCCTATAGGTAATCACATTTAAAAATTACAAAAAATTAACTTACTAAGATATGTAATTTTCTAATAGTTATGCACAATTCATAAACTGAAAATCGCTCGGAACGCATCAAGTACGTAGTTAACTTACTTTACGTATTATTTTAAATAAAAATTATTCGACATTAAATGTATTCGTACCTACATCAATAGAAAAATTGTATTACTTGACACTTGTTGAAATAATGTATCATCGTATTGTTACCTAATTTTCTAAACAATATTTCCCAGTGGGATACTGTCCTGTGACAGTTACGGAAATTTCCAACAAAACATTACCCCTACATTGATAATATTATCATTACGGATTGTTATCATTCTTTTAAAATTTTGTTTTCCTTTAAAAATCTATTTCAATAAATATTTTCATGAAGAGTATTGTTCGAGAGAAATTTTTTCCGATTTATATGTTTCCCCATTTTTTAGTGATTAAGATTAAAATATAATAAGCATTTTAGATTCTGAGTGGAGCATTTTTTTTCCTGTAGACAACTTTTCTACCAGAAATATTTTTTCGATTTACAAGTGCAGTATCTTTTATGAAAGGAAATCGATGTGAAAAAGTACATTAAAGAGGTCATTTTTCGATTTTACCAGGAGTTTTCTCAAAACATGTGAAAACCAATAAACCGTGACAAAAATGTCTACCAGAAATCTTGCCCCGTTATGTGCCTACGTGTAGCATCATATCTGAATGGAAATATTGTCTAGATCAGGGGTCTTCAACCCGAGGTTCGCATTCTGATTACACACTCCTTGTCATTATTTGCAGCCCACTATTATCACATTTGAATTATAGCATATTTTTTTTCTATTTCAATGAAATTAGAACGGCCATAAGCCGTCGCTATTGAAAGAATTGGGAAATATGAGATGAGATAAATTAAATTAAATTACCTACTCTTTTTGCTAGTACTTACACTTGTTAGCATATATTTTTACAAATGACAATTATCAAATCGAAAACTAGAGATCGGTTAACTGACATACACTAGGAAAACTCGCTGATAACTGCATCGTCTCAGATCCAACCAAATATAGAAAAATTAGTTAGTGAAAAATAATGTCAGTTATTAGTTATCACATTGAATATAAAATAAATAATTTGTAATTCAAAATTGAAATATGTTTATCTATTATTATATAAATATTTTTATATTATAATATTAATAAAATACAATCTATCACAATATTGAAAAATATCTATAAAATATAAATGCTGGTTGTTATAGGGAACATCATTTATTTTAATTAATTTTTTGCTAAATACACTAAATTCAATTAATTACCACATATATTATTACATATTATATCATATTATGTTACATACACTATAGAGCTATTGATTTTTCTAGAAAAATGTAATAGAAAAACTAAAAGGTTAAGTATCTAAAAATAACCTTTTATTAAATTTGTAAAATGGGCACTGTAAAAGTAATACATTTAGTAATATTAGGGTATATATATATATATATATTTTATACTAAAATTTAAGGTTTCTTAATTTTTTATTTTTAAATTTGTCATTATTATGTTGGAATCATAATGTTATTCATTTTCAATTGAAATGCTAAGGTCTTTCTGTCAAAGTATCTCCAATTTAAAATAGGTACATGATATTAAACAATTTATCACTCGATTCATTGAACTTAAGGCAAGTTAATTTTTGAAATAGCTTGTTTAATTATACATTTCTTTTTTACTCATTATTTTTAAATGAAATAAATTATTTTTTGTAACTCACATAAGTATAGGGTCTTTTTTTGTTTTAACTTTTCAGCCATTGTTCACCACATCAAGAAAGAGATGATTTAACCACAATAGGTCTGAAGATACAAATTAAAATCATCCATGCTTTTGAATATTAAACCTGGGATCAAGTTTATATAATTATTTAAAATTTTAAAAAGTACTTTCAAGGTAAGCAACGAGAACAAATAACACACAGTGTTTGAAACTTATTTGAAAGCTATTCCATATTTGTATATTATAAATCCAAATGCTTCAGAATAAAGATTACTGTAAACCTAACAAGCAGACACTGAAATAGTATTTATCCTCAACATTGTATTAGAGCTATTTGTCATTTAACGAGTTACGTTTTGGTACTTAATTGGATATTTTAGGTTATTATAGATTCTGTTAACCTTAATATTGTGACAATTAGTAGGTACATATGTTAAAATTACGAATCAACTTCCTGTTTTTTAGTCATTAAATTAGACACTTGAATTAAAACAAGATTAAATAATAGATACTTAGTAATAATAAAATGAACAGACTTTAGCAATAACTAAGTTTTATTATTATCATAAATCTACGTTTAAAAATACATTACAAATTAATAGTTCATACAGTAAGTATTTTGAAACAATTTAAATATTTTTTTATAACTCATAACATGTAAATTCAAATTAAAAAAAAAAAAACTAAGGAACATAAAAAGTTATTATGTATTGATACAAATAGGAATATACTTAGAAATCATGAACAATGGAAAAAGTGGGAAATTTATCGACCATATTTATTAGCTTATTAATTAATTATTTAGTATCCATTTTTTCAATTTCCTTCTTTTCTTTGTTAGCAGATACTTTAATACTAGGCTCATTGGTTTGAATAATAGGAATGGATATCTCCTCTTTCTTGTCATTGACAACCTAAATAAAATTTAACAGAAAAATCATTAATATGGTTATTACCCGTTGATAATACTGCTACATATTATGCATACACGTAATAATTAACATTATGTCTATGATATAAAGAAACATATTACTTAGGGCTATATCCTAACAGTTAAATTATTTTAAACTATACCTTCTTGGGAGCACCAACGCTGAGCACACCATCCGATGACAAAGATGATGTAATCAATTTTGGGTCGACAGTGTCTGGGATTTTATAACGGCGGGTAAACTGACGAGAAATGAAACCGTGTTCATCACTACGTTCTTCATGTTTTCCATCCACTACGACATAGTNGCGCTACCACAAGACGCATAGGTCTTTGATAACCTCTAATTCCAAAAGGATCTCTTCCGAAATGCGGATTATATTCTGCTGGTACCAACACGTCATCTAACAATCCCAGACCAAAGTGCTGATCGTATACGGTTGGGCGTGAAAGGTCCTCCAATAAAAATGGTAAGAGAGACATCTAAAAAGAAAAAAAAAATTTTATTATAGAAATCATTTATACTCTACCAAGTCAAAACAATAGTTTTCAAGTAGTGTAATAAATTTCCCATATTTGTTCTGTAATTTGTTTACCTTCTTTTATAATAATGGCTCGATACATTTATAAAAATGTATATTAATTGATATCACAAAATCAAATATGTATCTAATGAAGCAATCTCATATTTTTTTAAAACCATCTTGATTTCAGTCAAAATATACTTCCCGAACTTAAAAGGGAAAAAGTAATGAAAAAGTTCATATTTCTTAATAAGGTGGTACCTATATGGGTGTCTTTTGTTAACAGAATTTCGACACAATTCTCCTTAAACTTATATGTAACATTTAAAATGCAAATTTGAATTCAGGAGAACCGACCTAGTGTTGTTATCTTAAGTAGGTACCCATCATCAGGATGAATTGGTCTAGTAAGTTAAAAGCATCATCCTATTTTTGATATTTAAACTTTCAAGCGAGATGTATGCATGAAAAACTACAGACGTAGGGGTATTTATGGTGTATTTTCTATAAAATAAAAAAAAAAAGTGTATGAACTGTTTTATAAAATATAATATTGTCATCACAAAAAAACTACTTTTAATTAAAAAAACGACTGGGATATCATTAATTCAAGGAAATCTAAAAAAAAAAAAAAACCATACCTCGTTTAGTAATTTGTGTACGGCTAGTCTCTTGTCCGATTGTCTATACCGGTGATCCGATATTTATTGTAAATCGCAGACCGCAGTTGAGAAAATTTCAAAAATTGATAAAGATTCGCAAGCGTTATCGGTAAAGTCTGTGAAACCGAGAGAGTACGGCGAGAACGCGACTGACACGACGAAAACAAACTGACGACTGACGGTGCGCACACCGGCGTATTTATTAACGGTGGAATTTTCTAGAAAACGCGCGACGAGCCGCGTCGCCACACGCCGGCACTGCTGTAGAATTCGAGAATTAGACACGCCGTTCGCACGGAATTTCTAGTAATTTCTAGAACACTGTTTCGCGGATGATTTCGTCTATACACTGAACGTTCTCGTTCTCAACACCTATACCGAATTGCGTATTTTTGTACTCACGAATCGCAATATTATTCGTGATTCGTACATACTGCTGCTTCGACCTACCTACCTACCTACCTACCTACCTTATAGGTACACTAGGTTGGGTTTAAGTAATACGGAACTGGCAAATGAGAATTGCCGTTTTTGGCAAATTGGCAAACTAGTATTAGGTTCGGTGGCGTTGCGAACTCAATATTTTCGAATAGCAAAGTATATATTGATGGACCGCCAACCAACTGCCCCCATCTTGCTCGACCGCCAAAAGAAATCTCATTCGTTGAATTTTCGTCTTTTAACCCGGGATCAACGCGCGTTTTCTATTCACGAGATTGCTCGCGTGCTAGATTTTTCCTAACAATTAACCAATTTACTTAGTTTCATCGAAACATGAATTCCATTTGAATGCAATTTATGTTATTTACTTATTGAATTATAAACCAGACACGTGTGTGTAACGTAGTTTCGCTGCCGCTACCACCACACAAATACTGAATGTATCTACTGCCCTGTAGACGACCAAATTATTTATCAAATTTTTGTTTGTTAAAGTTTTTGATAGCGTGCAAGCTAAATGTGTGACGTGTTTTATGGAAATTTTGATTGACGGCGTGTTTGACAAACCTGTTTGATAGTATGCGAAAGTGTTTGTCAAATAAGATCTCAGTTATCGCCTTGACGCTACGGAGAACACATTTGCGATTATATGAATACATATAATAATATGTATGACGACACTTCGCGGCAAAGAGAAACCCGAAATTACGGGAGCGTTTGACAAATTTGTTTTATCTTTGGTTTGATCGTTTGCGCTGTTGTTTGATGAAAACACGAAGGTTTAACAAACAAATTTGATTGTTTACGCGGTGGCCTTAAGCTGAATGTCAGATTATTTTTCTAACGGCGCGAACTACCATTGGTACAAATATTACAAAAATTGAAGCTTATTCCCTTTCCGAATCCGTCCACGAATTGCCCCTAAACATATTCATCATCAACAAAATAATGATCTCTCATAGTCGCATTATGAATTGTTTTGGCTTTGCCCTCCCTATCCCTCAAATCTATGGGCGCACTCACGGGGGGAGGTTAACCCCCCCCCCCCTCCAGCTGTTTTTTTTGCAATCAATTAATTTTAAATTTGAAAGGGATGTGAAAATTCGTGGTCGCATTATATTTAAAGTTAATTACAATATTTTTTTTTTATATATTTAATTTAGACAAATCAACATTCTGTTACATAAAACTACTATAAGAAGATAGATGGGGTGTGCATAAAAGTTCTGAGGATGTGAGTAGAAGACGCTGTCCATTTAATAGCGCTTCGACGTGATTTATTTAAATACAATACAAATTATAAATTACTATAACTACAATTCGAGGAAGTCCCCGGGCCATTGTCGTTATAGACTTTGCGGAGGATTCCCGGGAAATGAATGGGAGTAGAGGCTTGATATGAGGGGTCGGTATGTTGAAGAAGGCGGTAGTGAAATTTGCTATAGTATCGTTTGGCTGTGTCTTTGATGAAGGAGATATTTAGTTCATTATAAAGTGTGAGGTTTGAAATGTATGGGGTTGCGTTATCAATGAATCCGAGCACTTTCGATTGGAATATTTGAATTTTATTTCTATTTGATATTTTAGCAGAGTTGAGTTTGGATGATTGAAGGATATTTTTAAGTAGAGAGAGTCTATGGTTGGAAGTAATTTTTGTTTTATGTAAGTGCTTAAACCAGTGAAGTTTTTTGTCGAATAATAAATCCAGGTATTTGACTATATCTGTGGAGGGTATTTGTTTATTGCTCAGGAAAATCGTAGGAGATTAGCCTTGTCTCAGAGTGAATACTGTGTGGGTAGATTTCGATTCATTAATTTTTACACGCCAGCGAGAGTACCGGTAGGTCTAGATGACTGCACGTATGACGAGGCTGCTATTGGATCGGAGTGAGAGGCGTAAATTACTTTGCCGTCCGCATATTCAGCAATTAATGTATTTATGTTAATAAATTAATATATTAATGTATAACATATTCGCATATTGGGGTGGGTTGGTTGGTCAGCGGAGTATAAATTATAAAGTGTGGGGGAGAGGACGGCGCCATACGGCACTCCCGCAAGTATTGGTGAGATGGAGGAGAGTTCGTGCTTTTCACTCCGAGACTCGTCGTATATACAAATATGTCAGCAATACATATTAACTGTGTTGTACTCTAATGTTTTATTGAAACAGTGATGTAGGTTTCGTTGTATTTTATTTTCGAATAATTGAGCGGTTTTTGTCAAACAACAAACTTTTCCCGTATGGCTATGTTACGGTCTCAAGCGCGTGCAAACCTGTACAGCCGCGAGTGTGAAAATGGGAGTCCACAGAGAGACTTTAAAGACAGCTGAAAATAGTATTAGTTGTTATTAAATCGATAGAGAAACGAATTTTACATTGTAATTTAATGATACATTTATTATTTTCAACTATTTAAATATTAAATAAAATGCAGGCAGATAAATTATAATAGGCAGGCAATATAGCCGGGCAATGGCAGAATTGGCTGGAGTCCCGATCGGCATGAATTCACTTTAATCAATTTAAAATTAATATGCATTTTTAACAAGAAAGTTATAATTCTCTGATGATACACTGAAAAGTGTTAGATCCACGATAAATGGATTATAAATAATTTGTTTACAACAATTCAATACAATTATCGTTGATTATTTTGCATCACAAAATACGTACATTTTGACGAGGGTTACGGATTTCCTACGGTAATAATTGTACATCGTGATTTGGGTTTGTGATTTTAGGACGTATATGTTTTATTTAATAGCAGCAAGAATTTTGTTACCGGCGAGTGGTATAATTATGTTTATCAATTGGTATTGACCACAGTATTTATAATCAATGAATTATCCTTGGATTTTGTAATCTGTGGTTTTACGATTATTCTAGGAAAGTATTTATAGGTTACATAATTGGGTACCATTAAATATCTAATTCCGTTGCATAATTTTACGAACGTGATCTGGGTACTCTAGGATTTTGGCATCAGGCCGTTCAGAGTATGACCAACTTAGATTGTCCGGAAGTGCGGTTTGCCTGTTACACTAGGCAAATTTTTTTTCCGTTTTTCTACGCCCGATATTTTGTTAAATTAAAGTGTCGTCGCTAATATTAGTGTGTTGGTGTGCTGGTGTTCCTCGTCAAGACTGAAAAGTTTCGGTGTCAAATAAACAGCGCAATTAGAACCTGTGACAGTGAGTTCTCAATTTGTTTTTTTTACACCTAAACTTATATTTTATAGTATTCCAGTGAGGAATACACAAATTTCAAAAAAAAAAAAACGAGTTCGCGTTCTCAACAGAGAGCTCCGTTGTGGCGTCGTGGTAGCGCCCACTGTAGGCAGCAAACCTTTTTTCGTTCTTCTAAATTTGAGCATACCTTATGAAATACGACTGTACGAGTATAATAACAACACTAAATAACGAAATCATCGACATTTAATAATTAAAATAAATAGTAAGTATGTAGCAAGGCGTTTATAAATTGTATTATACCCGCCTTGGCATGTTGTAGAAAGTGCCAGTGGCGCGATTACTATTATGTTTGTTTTATTTTTACCGTTTGGACATGTGTTTAACAATTGCTTGTGAATTTGATCTCTGGAGTCCAACTGATCACCAAACCACTACTAAATGTCTACTTAAATGCTTTTAATAGTTTTAAAACGATAGATTGTATAAGAATGCTATTTCAATAGTCTTGATAGTAGGGTTTTGGTCATTATAGATTTCAATGGTATCTACCTAATACTGTTGGTACTATAATACAAATCACCAAAATGAAACAGGGTTTTGTAAAATATTGTAATTATTATAATCCATGTTTATTATTGTTAATTAGAAAATGATCAAAATTATATATGTTATAAAAAAAAATATTATAATTTCATATTAAATAATACAATTTTTTAATTTCTGATTGAAAATGTTCACATTAAAATATTGTATCGGGAATTGTTCTACTACACCGAAAACAGTCGTGGGGGGAAAGGGTTCCTTAATTTGTTATCATTACCTACACACGATCATACCAGCAGATACATTTATAAGTACAGATTAATAGTACAAATAAACTTGCATAACAATTAACACATTTTCAACAAAAATTGGATTAATTACCATTTTTTTTTTTATCAAGATACATTAATGAATTCAAATTTTTGATATGATATTCAATAAGCCATAAGTAACCAATGGTACTCACACTTTCCAGTTTCTTTCAATAACTTTTAATAGTCCCAAGACATTTCTTAAACAAATTATTTATACAGTAAAAAAATAATTTAACAAAAATAAGATGTTTAAATTCAATTTCCACATCTTGGGATATTTCCTAACACAAGGAATTTCTGTTTTATTGCCTTTCCAAAAGGAATTCTGGGATTTTCTTGTGTAGGTTATAGTCCACATATGGGATATACATTGTACATATATTATGTGCATATGTTCACAACTATGAATGTCCCTTGAAGAATAGAAACCATAATACTATCTCATTAAAGTCTTAGGATATATCCTGTACCTCCAATGAAAGTT